ATCGACACAATTCTAACATTTTTGGCTCTATACACTGCCACAATGGATTTGAAATGAAACGAACAAGATGTGCTTTAACTGCAGACTGTCAGCTTTAATTTGAGGGTATTTACATCCAAATCAGGTGAACGGTGTAGGAATTACAACAGTTTGCATATGTGCCTCCCACTTGTTAAGGGACCAAAAGTATTGGGACAGTTGGCTTCTCAGCTGTTCCATGGCCAGGTGTGTGCTATTCCCTCATTATCCCAATTACAATGAGCAGATAAAAGGTCCAGAGTTTATTTCAAGTGTGCTATTTTCATTTGGAATCTGTTGCTGTCAACTCTCAAGATGAGATCCAAAGAGCTGTCACTATCAGTGAAGCAAGCCATCATTAGGCTGAAAAAACAAAACAAACCCATCAGAGAGATAGCAAAAACATTAGGCGTGGTCAAAACAACTGTTTGAAACATTCTTAAAAAGAAGGAACGCACCGGTGAGCTCAGCAACATCAAAAGACCCGTAAGACCACGGAAAACAACTGTGGTGGATGACCGAAGAATTCTTTCCCTGGTGAAGAAAACACCCTTCACAACAGTTGGCCAGATCAAGAACACTCTCCAGGAGGTAGGTGTATGTGTGTCAAAGTCAACAATCAAGAGAAGACTTCACCAGAGTGAATACAGAGGGTTCACCACAAGATGTAAACCATTGGTGAGCCTCAAAAACAGGAAGGCCAGATTAGAGTTTGCCAAACGACATCTAAAAAAGCCTTCACAGTTCTGGAACAACATCCTATGGACAGATGAGACCAAGATCAACTTGTACCAGAGTGATGGGAAGAGAAGAGTATGAAGAAGGAAAGGAACTGCTCATGATACTAAGCATACCACCTCATCAGTGAACCATGGTGGTGGTAGTGTCATGGCGTGGGCATGTATGGCTGCCAATGGAACTGCTTCTCTTGTATTTATTGATGATGTGACTGCTGACAAAAGCAGCAGGATGAATTCTGAAGTGTTTCGGGCAATATTATCTGCTCATATTCAGCCAAATGCTTCAGAACTCATTGGACGCCGCTTCACAGTGCAGATGGACAATGACCCACAGCATACTGCAAAAGCAACCAAAGAGTTTTTTAAGGGAAAGAAGTGGAATTTTATGCAATGGCCAAGTCAATCACCTGACCTGAATCCGATTGAGCATGCATTTCACTTGCTGAAGACAAAACTGAAGGGAAAATGCCCCAAGAACAAGCAGGAACTGAAGACAGTTGCAGTAGAGGCCTGGCAGAGCATCACCAGGGATGAAACCCAGCGTCTGCTGATGTCTATGCGTTCCAGACTTCAGGCTGTAATTAACTGCAAAGGATTTGCAACCAAGTATTAAAAAGTGAAAGTTTGATTTATGATTATTATTCTGTCCCATTACTTTTGGTCCCTTAACAAGTGGGAGGCACATATGCAAACTGTTGTAATTCCTACACCGTTCACCTGATTTGGATGTAAATACCCTCAAATTAAAGCTGACAGTCTGCAGTTAAAGCACATCTTGTTTGTTTCATTTCAAATCCATTGTGGTGGTGTATAGAGCCAAAAATGTTAGAATTGTGTCAAAGTCCCAATATTTATGGACCTGACTGTATATATATATATATTCTAAAAGTCATTGCTCGTTTTACGTGGAAACTCAAAGTTAGGATTGATGCTCATTTCAAAATGATTATACATCCATATGCTAACGTATCCGATAACAATAACACAGGTGTTCTACAAGGGTTATGGGCTTTCCTGTCTGTGTGTGTGTGTAATATCGTCAGTAGCTGAATGCACACTAGAGCCTTTTTGTTCTTGGTATTTTGTGTTTGTCTCTTTTATATATAAATTGTGCATGTGTGTAAATATATGTAATGAGAGGGGGAAAAAAAAATAATAAATATATATATATATATATATATATATATATATATATTTAAATACACACACTCACTGGCCACTTTATTAGGTACACCTTGCTACCCGGTGTGGTCTTCTGCTGCTGTAGCCCATCTGCTTCAAGGTTCTACGTGTTGTGCGTCTAGAGATGGTATTCTGCACACCTTGGTTGTAACGAGTGGTTTGAGTTTTTGTTGCCTTTCTATCATCTTGAACCTGTCTGCCAATTCTCCTGTGACTTCTGACATCAACAAGGCATTTTCATCCACACAACTGATCACTGGATATTTTCTGTTTTTTGGACCATTCTCTATAAAACCCTAGAGATGGTTGTGCGTGAAAATAGCACAATAGTAGATCAGCAGTTTTTAAAATACTCAGACTAGCCCGTCCGACACCAACAATCATGCCACATTCAAAGTCGCTTAAATCCCCTTTTTTCCCCATTCTGATGCTCGGTTTAAAGTGGCCCGTGAGTGTGTGTGCATGTATGTATGTGTGTGTATATGTATGTATGTAGTGTGTGTGTGTGTGTGTATATGTATGTGTGTGTATATGTATGTATGTATGTATGTATGTGCACACATGTGCATGTGTATTTTCTGCAAGGTGGACAGGTTCAACTGGTACCGGCAACAGTAAGAGACTAGGACATCCAGGGATTGGTTTGTCCCGTGTTTTTATTCAGCAAGGCAGCAAACACAGTTTTAGTGCAAGTGACTTTGCACAGCAAGTCCGTAGCATAAACCAAAACATCTGCTCATCCAAGTCCCTAACTAAACTTATGTCAGTTCCTAACAGGCACCCCTTGTACCGGTTAAGGCCCCATGTACACATGAACTCCCCTAGACGTTTAGATCTCTTGGCAGCAGAAAAACATGTAAACACTGTACCATGTTTAGCCACGTTTTAGCACCTGGACATTTACTCATTTAATTGGCCAGATTATTTTTCATTGGCATGAATTAAACGCCCAAGCACTAAATGTGGCTAGCATTTTTTGGCCAAAGCATTCCATGCTTTCAGGAGAGGAATGTTTAACTGTCCCTACACTCTGCTGTTCTTAAACTCTGATAAGTCTATGTGTACATGGACACAGGCTTTTATTGAGTTGAGTCATGGGCTTTGGCAATAAAGCACCAAAAGCTCCTAACCTCACTCTTAGGAGCAGCAGTGTTCTGTGAGCAGTCATCCTTTTCACCCTGCAGTTCCCATAGCAGAGAAAGAGCAAGAGAGAGTCCGGAGCTTCTGTCAGCTCTTATATGTAAAGAAACACAGGGAGGAAAGTGAGCGCTAAAAATGACTAGCTGCTGTAACACCAAAAATGTACCAAAAAACCTTCCAAAGTAACAATATAAATAAGGGTGCAGCGCTAAAATATGAATATCACACATCAAATAATTGCAAATAAATAAGAAAAGTGCCAATGCAATAATACATATAAATAAATAACCATATCCCAGTGTCAGGTTATATTCAAGGTGACTGATGGTGTGCAAAAAGTGGTGTTATATTTATAATAATAATATGTCCATGGGGTGATCAAGTGATGAAACTATATACTGTCACTATAAAGTGACCACTAGTGCTGAATAAAGTGCCAATAGTGACAAATAAACGTCTAAAAAAGTGATAAATGAAAGATCCAATTATGATCTCAAAAGCTGGTGATCGATATCATCTATCCAACGATATGATGATGTGCCAAGTAATGTAAGAATAGCGCACTCACCAGATGTGCAATCAAATCACGCATTTAGAGATAAATACTGTGTTCAGCTGGAGGTCCCTTTAAGGATATGTGCAGCCTGGTCTGGAGTTCCCTCTCTGGTTCATCTGCAGTCAGCAATACCTCTGTTGTCCTCTTTATACAACTCTGTGGGTTGTTAGGCTCACAAAGAGCCCAAAAAAGAATACCAATAGCATGATACTGCTTTTAGGAAATATTTATTCTTTCCATTAAGTGCAAAAATACAGAGAGAAAAAAAAAAAAAAAAACACTGACCATATGAGAATTTCCAAGATGGCCGCCGTGCCTGCACGTGGTGCCATGATGTTGCAGCTCCTCTCTGACGCACATAATAGGCACGGCGGCCATTTTAGCGCTGCACCCTTATTTTATATTCTTATATGTAAAGGCTTGTGCACATCTGAGACTAATAATGAGATCTGGCTAAAAGGTTAGATGTGGAAGTAGAGACAGAGCTTTACAAAGCCTTTGAAACTTTCCTCACAAAATATAAATTAATATTATGTATAACACCTCTCCAACTGAGTTCAGGGGGCTTCATCAAAAAAGGAAGGTCCACTTATTTACTCAGATCCTCTCCGCTATTCCAAAACTGTGTGGTAAAATGAAAAAGCCTGTGTGGAAAAAGTTTTTTCTTTCTTTACACATTGCACCAAGGCAAGAGTGATCTCCCCATCCTTCCAGCCAATTTTCATGAGAAGATGCTTTATTAATGTGGTAGAGTGTCTTTTCACATGATTTGGGGTGCTCTGTATTCACTGTTGTTTCAGTGGAACGAAGGTGATGTCACCACCTCCAGTGAGGAAGCAAGGGTAAGAAGGTGAGTATGTTTTCCTTTTTACCCCTGCAAGACTTTTTTTTTTGATTTTTTTAAATGTTTTTATTTATCACAGCATTTTTGCATGAGGAAGCTTTTTGGGGAAGGCCTTTTCTGTTGCAGGAAAACGGTGTCCCTATTCACAAAGCCATCTCCATAAAGACTTAGTTTGACCAGTTTGAGAAGGAAATTGAGTGGCTTGCAAAGAGCTGTGACCTCAGCTTTATTTAGCACCTTTGGGATGAATTAATACATCAAATGTGAGCCAGGTATTCTCATCCAACATTAGTACCTGACCTCACAAATGCTCTTTGGGCTGAGAAGCCAGCATTTCCCACAGACCCTTTCCTTAATCTTGTGGGCAGGTTAACTCATTATTTCTCATGGTTATGTCATGTTCTACAAGCTCATATAGGTGTTATGGTCAGGTTTCCCCGAACATTTACCTATATAGTGTGGGATTTTTTGTTTTTTTTCCTTAATAAAATTTTGAATATTACATGAGTCTTAATTTTGCTTTCCTTTTGCTACAGAATAAAGGTTCCCTTCAATTGAGAGGACAAATGGGATTTCATGAGACCTATAGTCCTGAAGCTCCTACGACAGGAGTCCGTCACAAAACAGCAGTGGTTCGACCTCTTCTCGTAAGTCTTTGATAAAAAGTAGTCCTTTTTATCTCATTCTTCAGTAAAATTCTCATTAACGGAACATTGTTTTGTGATTGCTTTGACATGGAATAACATTTATTTTGTATGATGCAGGAATTTTTAAGTGATCACTATAAAATAGTTTGGAATATTAGGTGTTCTACATGTGTAACAGTAAACAAAAGTCTGATAGGCTAAGTTTAGACTTGCCACTCCACATTCAGATTGCTTTTCAGTGGTATTTGACAGGTAGTGAGAAGGCGGAGTGATGCCTCCTAACCGTCTTTTAACCCTGTAATTGCCGAACAAACACTCACTGACCTATTTACTTGAATGCGTCACGTTTGGTGAAGTGCAATTTTTTGCCTCAGTCACTCAGTTTGCAAAGCATCGCGACCTCAGCATGTAAACACCACCGTTCGCTGCCTTTGCATCTTGGGAGAGGCCATAAAAATGCAGCTCAAGTTCATCGATTCTAACAACCCCCCCCAACTGCTAAATGAGCCCTTAGTCTGTGTATAAGGCAGCTGTAGAAAGGATGTTTCCCTTCTTTTTCCATTGAGATGTTCTGGTGATCTGAAAGTCCCAAAGTAAGCCTTTTGATCATGTATTTACTCTGTCTGGAAATATCAGAGGTAAACTTCGCTGATTTCCCTACACTCCATCGAAACTGCCCTCCTCAAAATCACCGACCTACTAACCGCCAAAGCCAAAGGCGACTACTCTGTCCTCCTCCTCCTGGACCTCTCCGCGGCCTTCGACACAGTTGACCACCCCCTCCTCCTTAATAAACTACTCTCCCTTGGCATCAGAGACACCACTCTCTCCTGGTTCTCCTCTTACCTATCCCGACGCTCCTTCAGCGTTTCCTACAATGGTGCCACCTCCCCTTCCCTCCCCCTCTCTGTTGGGGTCCCCCAAGGCTCTGTCCTTGGACCCCTTCTCTTCTCCATCTACACCTCCTCCCTTGGCAAACTCATACACTCCCACGGCTTCAACTACCACCTCTACGCTGATGACACTCAAATTTACCTCTCCACCCCCCCCACCTCACCCCCACATTCTCCGCCCGCATCACTCACCTCCTAAACGACATCTCTGACTGGATGTCGCTCCATTTCCTCAAGCTTAACCTCTCCAAAACCGAGCTTCTCGTCTTCCCTCCTGCCCGCGCCCCCCCCCATCCTATCCATCACTACTAACATCACCACCATCAATCCCGCCCCGCAAGCCAAAGTCCTTGGAGTCATTCTGGACTCTAACCTCTCCTTCCAACCTCATGTCAAATCACTTACAAACACATGCAGGCTCCACCTCCGGAACATCGCCAAAATACGCACCTGCCTTACCCCAGACACCACTAAACTACTCGTACACTCCCTGATTATCTCACGCCTTGACTACTGCAACTCCCTCCTCACCGGCCTACCCCAGTGCAGGCTCTCCCCACTTCAGACCATCCTGAACTCAGCGGCCAGACTCATCCACCTCACCACCCGCTCCACCTCTGCCACCCCCCTCTGCCTGTCCCTCCACTGGCTCCCTATCGCCCAACGCATCAAATTCAAACTACTCACTCTGACCTACAAAGCCATTCACAACACTGCCCCTAACTACCTCACCAACCTGATTCCCAAGTACCACCCTACCCGTACCCTTCGCTCTTCACAGGACCTCCTTCTATCTTGCTCCCTGGTCTCCTCCTCACACGCACGTCTGCAAGACTTCTCCAGGTCCTCCCCCATCCTCTGGAACTCACTACCCCAATCCATCAGACTGTCACTTTCCCTCCTCACCTTCAGGCGCTCCCTGAAAACCCACCTCTTCAGGGAAGCCTACCCCACCCTCACCTAACTGCTGCTCTCCTTCATTCCTCCTACCACTCTATCCCCCACAGCCACTTCCTCCTGTACCACTACCCCCTCCCTCCTAGATTGTAAGCTCGAAAGAGTAGGGCCCTATAACCCCTCGTGTGCTGTTTGTAGGTGCTGTAATGTTTCATGTATTGTCCCCCCCTATTGTACAGTGCTGAGCAAACCCTTTGGCGCTATATAAACTAGATGTAATAATAATAATAATAATAATTTTCTGTGGGAGTATTTTCAGCATGCAATACGTCTCACCTCTTCTCCCCTTTCTAAGATTTCCCTTTTTATCTTTTACTTACCTTGTCCCCAGTGTAGTTCTATTCCTCTTCTTGTCACCTGTGATGTTATTACAGGTACCTAAATGATCCTTCAGCTGCTGGAGCCAGGAGGATAGGTTCACAGACACAGTGGCGGATGGGGAGTTATGTAAAAGAGTGGCAGGCTCCTCGGAGGGAATTATTGTAGGAACTATCCTAGATCCCTGACCAGTGATATCACCACTTCCTTGCTAGAACTGCAGAAGGTTTTGTTAGGTGACCAGTTAGGAAGGAAGCATTGGAAACCAAGACGTTCTGGCCTCCTTGGAGGTACTAAGGCAATTTCTTTTTTTTACAAGATTTTACAGTACAGACTTGTTCTGTAATTTGAAGACCATATGTAGCTGCTATGATAAATGCTGGGGTTTCTTCACAACACTGGAACTAAAAAAGGGACTTGGATAAGCAGTGAAACAGAACAAGTCTGGTTCATTTTGATTAACTAAGTCTAGCTATACTATGATCCGCATAAATTAAAAAACCTTCACAGACACACAGTAAAGTGGAACACAAACAACTGTGAAAGTCCGTCTTTCTTCTTCTCTTTGTTTTTTTTTTTGGGGGGGGGGGGGGGAGAGTTTAGCCATGATGTTTCATTATTGCAAATCTGCACAAATGAAGGTCTTGTCTTGGTCCCTTGTGTCAGTGTATGCATTAGAGCTTTAGCTTGGCTAAACTTCTTGGAGCCCTATTGTGACTTAAAACCTGGGCTCCATGACATGTTATCATGAAACTGCAAGGTATTTGTATTATTTTGGTGATATTAGAAATAACCCAGTTATGAACATTAAAAGGTGAAGCATAGTGTATTTTTAGTAAGAAATTTTGATTTATTATTGCAGTGTCCCATTTTTTGAGAGCTTGCTGCTTTTTTTGTTGTGTACTAAATGTAGACAATTGCCACTACCATAACTCTACCTAGTTAAGATATCAGCACACAGAGAGAGCTTGGCGTTCAAGGAATGAGAACTCATGGGATGGTAAAGCTCAACCAATGTGTTTCACTGCAAAACAGGAAGCAGAGCTTACATATGTAATGTGCACGACATCTGCTCCATGTACATATGTGATTACAAACTATGCACAGAAACAAGGTTTTAAACAATAAAACAGCTTGGTAAGGTCATTTACATTAAGCTGATCTTTTAAAGTTGAACTCCAGGCAAATATAAGGATAAAAATTAATGCAGGTCCATATTTAATAAAACATCTGTAAATTATCAACATAATTACCTTAATTTGACTCTGTCTCTTGCAGAACGGCAGCCACTATACAATAAAAAACACACCTAAACTTGTTTTGCTAGTGTCCTTAGGTGATTTGCAGCTTAACGCATGTCCCTTTTGATGGTTCATTGTTCAGTGATCTTTGCAGTCCACATCCCAGGGTTGGAGGACTGGAACGCAGATAACCTCAGCCTTCACTGCCTGGATCAAGGGAAATAGGTTCTTCACCCAAACAGCTTCAAGCCTAACATGTCAAATGGGGGAACCATGGATGTGGATTTCAAGGCCTCCAGTTTCAAAAACAAACTACTGTATTTGTGACCAGGTTTAAAGATCACTGGCATCAGATTCCTTGATAATACCCTGGTCTCAGCTCAGGCTAAGCTATGCCTTCCCTCCAGTGCATATTCTACCTCTTCTGCTCCACAAAAAGTAGAAGAAGCTGGTGATTCTCATTGCACCAAACTGACCCAGAAGAACTTGGTACCCAAACGCCCAACTACTAAAGAGAAAACCCCTGGCCTCTCTCCAGCAAGCCAGATCTGCTGTCTCAGGGATCTCTCTTCCATCATGCTTCTCAGTCACTAGCTTTATTGACATAGTTGTTTGAAGCAGAGGCCTCAAAAGACAGAGGGGTTTCTGAGTGTGTCATCCCTACCTTGCTTAAAGCATGGAAAGTCACTTCCAGAAAGATATGTTTATCATACCTGGAAATCTTTCTTTGCCTGGTGGGCATTTCAATTCCAGAGATTTCTCAGTGCCTTGTATTCTGGCATTCCTCCAACCTAGACTTGATCAGAACTTCGCCTTGATCACCCTGAAAGGACAGATTTCGGCCTTCACTCTCCTTTTTCAAAACCTTTTATACAAGGTCTTTCTTAGATCAGGTCCCTCTTTCAGTACCCTGTGCTTCCTTTGGACTCAACTTGTTTCTTTCTGCTCTACAGAAACCAACCTTTGAGGCCATCAGGGATATTCCCTCGATGGCCTCTCCAGCAAGGTAGCCTTTCTAGTGTCAGACGTGACGTCTCTCTTACAAAGAGTAATTTCTCATCCTTCATAATGACAAGGTAGCCCTACACCCAAGGCAATCCTCCAAGGTGGTATCAAACTTTCATCTCAATGAAGAGATAGTTCTATTGTTGTGCTCTGCTGCAATGCACCCCAAAAGAAACTGTTCTTCATTGGCCAGATGTTGTCGGAGCTATCAGTGTCTATCTCAAAGCAACAGCTTCTAGCAAGAAGATGGGTTCCCTATTTGTTCTGCCCACTGGATCTTGCAAGGATCACCCTGCTTCCAAGTCAACCATTGCTCACTGAATCAGTCAGCTGGTCAGTAGAGCTTACACTCTAGACAAAACTCCTCCTGTGTTTTTACATGCCTACTCCACCAGGCCGGTGGGAGTTTCCTGGGTCCAGCACCAGGCTTCTGTAGCTCATCACTTAAAGGCTGCCACCTGGTCTTCTGTTCATACCTTTTCAAAGTTTGATCAGGTGGACATCCAGTCTTCTGCAGATGAAGCCTTTGCCCCGCAAGGTTCTTGCAGTGGCATTCTAAGTTTGTTCTGCTGGCCTTTTTGTTGTTGGGAGTGTTGGCACAGTTCTTTTTGCCTAGTTGTTGCCCATCCTTTGCATTCATTGCTTGGGTACATCCCAAGCCACCCTCCTTTCAGTGGTTACTCTGCATTTCCTGTTACAAAACTGAGGACTCTTGAGTGGGATAGGGTTGTAGGGAAGGAATCCAGAGGGTGTGTCCTCAAAAGTTTTGCAAGTGCGCAGTCACCTGAAGGTACAAGTCTGTAACCCAGGGTCTAGGAATACTCTGCATGTGTCCTGTACTGTACTCCCAGATTTAAAATTTACGGTTAAATTAAATTCCTATTTTTTTTAAGTACAGTACAAGCACAAGCTAACATCCACCCCCCACCCCTCTCCTCGACCATCTTTGTGTTGTCCTCTGATTTCTTGTTGAAAACTGAGGATTGGTGGATTTGGAGGGGTTATAAGGGCTGTTTTAGCAACTTAGTTTGCCAGTGTCTTTAAGTAAATCAAACATCCTTATTTTGGCAGGTAGTTTCATTTGTGTATTTAGCTATTTGCCTGGAATTTAACTTTAATATGTATATTCATCAAAGCACTTAAATGACTACATAGTGCCATTAAAGTATCTTCTAACTCCCAATTGTGCTCCTGTCACACAGGCTTCCACTGCAAAATATAAGAAGCTGTTTCACCACACTTTACACAGCCATGGTCCACTGGTATCCCAATTCCTGCAAAGAGGCAGCAGGATGGGAAAAAAAAAATGTATTTTAATAAATTAATTCAATCAAGGTTTATATATACCTTTTAAAACAGGGCTCGACAAATCTCAGTCGCCATCGTGACGGAAATTGTGTCCTAGCTCCTGGGTTTACACGCTGCTTCCCATTGACTTCAGTGCAAAATTACGTCCCATTGACATCAATGCAAAAACTCTTGTCAATAGCATTCTTATGTGAACACTTATGTCCGCATGCCACTCTACTCTATCACTTGCGAGTCTGCAATGCACTGCTACAAACTTGCAATTTTCGTAATGGCGCGCAAAACACAATGCATGTGGATCACATCTGTGTGAAGCACCTCAATAGGAGCACATAATATCTAGCCTGTCATGCGAATGTGAGTTTTAAAATGCATCCAGAATTGCATATGTGTCAACCAGGACAGCTCCATTCACACCTGGGTGTGTTTGGATTGTGGCAGAATCGCAGCAATCGCAGAATGCAGGTTCAGGTGCCATTATTTTCAATGGCACCTAAACCGTGTGGTTTTGCTGTAATTATCGCATGGTAAATAGCATGGCATAAAGCTTGTCGCCCAAAAATTGCTTAACCCATGCTACACTAAAACAAAACTGGCTCCTAAATTTTTAGCTGGCTCCTAGATTCAAAGCAAATTTGTCAAGCCCTGCCTTTAAAACTTTCATCATGGTACGGTTAATGACTTCGGTTTATGAAATTCATGATTTAATTGTCCTGCATTACATTATATTTTTCTGTAATTGAGCTTATAAAATGTATATTTCTTGTAGGGAACTCTTTACCATAATATATTTTCTTCCCTTCATTTCATGGATTATCTGGCTCTGAAAGGTGATCATTTTTTAATTTTAGGGATGTGCATGCAGTTTGCCTATGGGATGACAAAGGCCCAGCAAAAATCCACCAGGCTTTAAAAGAGGACATTCTAGAGTTTATAAAGCAAGCTCAAGCTGTGAGTAATATTGTTTTGTTTTTGTTTTTTTCTGTTTGTGACCTAATATTTAATTGTAATGTTGCATTCCAGTTTCTCTGGGAGACATTGCATAAATGTTAAATAAAAGTAAAATAAAATACAGGATCTTCAATAATTCCCTTGCACTTAAAGCTGAACTCCAGGAAATCTGCCACTTTCTGAAATTACTATGGGTTGAGTCCACTGCTAAGAACTTCAGCGAAAGTTAAAATACCTTGTGCTGCTAGCACATAGGATTGATGGCCGAAGGTAAAATACCTTGTGCTGCTAGCACATAGGATAGATGGCCGAAGGTAAAATACCTTGTGCTGCTAGCACATAGGATAGATGGCCGAAGGTTAAAATACCTTGTGCTGCTAGCAGATAGGATAGATGGCCGAAGGTAAATACCTTGTGCTGCTAGCACATAGGATAGATGGCCGAAGGTTAAAATACCTTGTGCTGCTAGCACATAGGATAGATGGCCGAAGGTAACATACCTTGTGCTGCTAGCACATAGGATAGATGGCCGAAGGTTAAAATACCTTGTGCTGCTAGCACATAGGATTGATGGCCGAAGGTAAAATACCTTGTGCTGCTAGCACATAGGATTGATGGCCGAAGGTAAAATACCTTGTGCTGCTAGCACATAGGATAGATGGCCGAAGGTTAAAATACCTTGTGCTGCTAGCACATAGGATAGATGGCCGAAGGTAAAATACCTTGTGCTGCTAGCACATAGGATTGATGGCCGAAGGTAAAATACCTTGTGCTGCTAGCACATAGGATAGATGGCCGAAGGTTAAAATACCTTGTGCTGCTAGCACATAGGATTGATGGCCGAAGGTAAAATACCTTGTGCTGCTAGCACATAGGATTGATGGCCGAAGGTAAAATACCTTGTGCTGCTAGCACATAGGATAGATGGCCGAAGGTTAAAATACCTTGTGCTGCTAGCACATAGGATAGATGGCCGAAGGTAAAATACCTTGTGCTGCTAGCACATAGGATTGATGGCCGAAGGTAAAATACCTTGTGCTGCTAGCACATAGGATAGATGGCCGAAGGTAAAATACCTTGTGCTGCTAGCACATAGGATTGATGGCCGAAGGTAAAATACCTTGTGCTGCTAGCACATAGGATAGATGGCCGAAGGTAAAATACCTTGTGCTGCTAGCACATAGGATAGATGGCCTGTGGCTTTCTCACTCAAAGCAGCAACATGGCACCCCTCTCCCCGCAAACAATGCTCCAATCAACAGCACTGCTCTTGTAGCACTTTGTACAGAGAGCGCTGTGGTCTTACTCCCCTTTGTGCTGGCAACACAAGGTATTTTAACCCTGGCTGAAAGACTTAGCAGTGTAAAGAAAGTAAAAGCCCTATGTTTATTACTGTTACGCATCTTGAATGTAAAAATTAATTAACCAAGGGTCATTTGGGCTTCAACAGCTATAATCAGTTCACTGAAAAACGTATTGACTTTGGACTCACACAGTCCACAGGCTTGCCGGGGTTACATAGGGGGATGTCCCTCTTTTTTGCCAGTGTCCAATCACCAGAGGATAGCAGCATGTAACCCATGGTTAAGAAAAAAGTCCTGTGTCCTGTCCTGTCCTGTACTTCAAGAAAACAATTTTACAGGTAGGATTATTGTTATTAAATACCGTATTTTTCGCACCATAAGACGCACTTTTTTCCCCCCCAAAAAGGGGGGGAAAATGTCAGTGCGTCTTATGGAGCGAATGTAAAGCGGCCGGTCCGGTATTTTTGCGGCCACCATGTCAGAATACCGTGCCGGCCGCTCAGCTGTTGTCTCCTGCAGGGCCTTACCTGTTCCTCGCTCCAGCGCTGCACAGTCTTCCCGCGCTGGCTTCTGTGACAGCCGGGTGCCCACTGCGCATGTGCTGCGCTTTGTGAATGATCCGGTGTCTTCTGGGACACATGAAAGGTCCCAGAAGGCTCCAGGCCATTCACAAAGCGAAGCGCTTCTCGCACCTGCGCAGTGGGCACCCGGCTGTCACAGAAGCCGGCCCGGGAAGAAGAGGGAAGGCAGCTCCGCGGAAGTGGGAGCGGGTACCTGTCAAATTCAGGTACCCGCTCCCCCTCCCTCCCCAAAGGTCAGCAGTCTCTGGTCATCCCCTTCACTGTCTGCAGTCTCTGGTCATTCCCTGCACTGTCCACAGTCTCTGGTCATTCCCTGTACTGTGTCCGCAGTCTCTGGTCATTCCCTGCACTGTCTGCAGTCTCTGGTCATTCCCTGCACTGTCCGCAGTCTCTGGTCATTCCCTGCACTGTCCACAGTCTCTGGTCATTCCCTGCACTGTCCGCAGTCTCTGGTCATCCCCTGCACTGTCCCACAGTCTCTGGTCATCCCCTGTACTGTCCGCAGTCTCTGGTCATCCCCTGTACTGTCCGCAGTCTCTGGTCATCCCCTGTACTGTCCGCAGTCTCTGGTCATCCCCTGTACTGTCCGCAGTCTCTGGTCATCCCCTGTACTGTCCGCAGTCTCTGGTCATCCCCTGTACTGTCCGCGCAGTCATCTGTACTGTCCGTCATTCCCTGCACTGTGTCCGCAGTCTCTGGTCATCCCCTGCACTGTGTCCGCAGTCTCTGGTCATCTCCTGCACTGTGTCCGCAGTCTCTGGTCATCTCCTGCACTATGTCCGCAGTCTCTGGTCATCCCCTGTACTTTGTCTGCAGTCTCTGGTCATCTCCTGTACTATGTCCGCAGTCTCTGGTCATCTCCTGTACTATGTCCGCAGTCTCTGGTCATCTCCTGTACTGTGTCTGCAGTCTCTGGTCATCTCCTGCACTGTGTCCGCAGTCTCTGGTCATCCCCTGTACTGTGTCTGCAGTCCATTGGTTCAGAATATTTTTTTTTCTTGTTTTTCACCTCTAAAACCTAGGTGCGTCTTATGGTCAGGTGCGTCTTATGGAGCGAAAAATACGGTAGCTCTTTTTATGAGAACTTTTGAAGAGTTTTTTTAGGGGAGCTGTTCTCCTCACTAGAGAAAGTTAAGTTAATGGCTTAATATTTTAACAGCACTTGTTACCTTAAAGTGATACTAAAGGTAATTTGTTTTTTAACCACTTGCCCTCCTGAGGATTTACCCCCCTTCTTGGCAAGGTCAATTTTTGCGTTACGGCGCTGCATTACTTTAACTGACACTTGCGCGGTCATGCAACGCTGCACCCAAATGAAATTTACGTTCTTTTTCCCACAAATAGACCTTTTTTTGGTGGTATTTGATTGCCTGTGCAGTTTTTAGTTTTTGCGCTATAAAAAAAAAAAAAAAGACTGACAATTTTGAGAAAAAAACAATATTTTAAAAAATCAAATTGTGTCATAAATTTAGGCCAAAATGTATTCTGCTACATGTCTTTGCTAAAAGAAAAAAAAATCCCAATACGTGTAAATTAATTGATTTATGTGAAAGTTATAGCGTTTACAAATGGCAGTTTATATATACTGGGCTTTTTTTTTTCTTAATTTATTATTTTTACTAGTAATGGCAGCGATCAGTGACTTATAGCGGGGACTGCGGCGGGCACTGGGGGGAACTGAATAATTGTCACTGACATCCCCAGTGACACCAATACAGTGATCAGTGCTAATAAAAAGCACTGGCACTGTACTAATGGCGCTGGGCATGAAGGGGTTAACATCTGGAGCGATCAAAGGGTTAGTTGTGTGCTGTCTTACTATGATGTTCTGTGTTTGTGGTTCACTGTAAGCACACTGCTTTGCACGGCTGTGCACAGCACAGCCATGCAAAGCAGTGTGCAGGAGCTGACAGGGAGGAGAACTGTTTTGATTACAAACAGTTCTCCCCCTGTCGGAGATCCTCAGCAATCACTAGGCGCCACCGAGTAATCACTGTCCAGGACCCGGTGATTGACGGCCGGATATGGCAGCGTGGGTAGGGCGCACGCACGCCCTCTACCCGGAAATGCAAAATCACGTATATATATACGTGATTTTGCACACCGCTGCTGCCCTGTAGCAGTATTTCTGCTATGAGGTGGCGCTAAAGAGGTTAAATAACAAACATGTTATAACTACCTGCTCTGTGCAGTGGTTTTGCACAGAGCAGCCCCAAACCTCCTCTTCTCAGGACCACTACTGGTAATCCTGGCTATTCCCCCCCCCCCCCTGCTGTGTGCTTGTATAGCTAGCAGCTTGCTATGGGGGTACTTGTGTGTGTTCACTCCCAAGCCCCACTTCCTACTTTGTGTTTGTGCAAAGAATGCATTATCGTAAAAAACCTTCAGCCTTTAGAACCACTTTTAAAGTGGTAGTAAAGTCAAAATTTGTATACCTTTTCCATTCCTTTGGAGCTCTGTGCCATAAGCCTTGTGCATGCGCTGGTGTGACGTCATCATGGCTCGACTATTCAAAGTGCTGGAGCCTGTGAATCCAGAAATAAGACCAGGTGAAGATGGAAACCCTGTCAGTGGTGACATCGCGCCGCTGGAGGGCTTCCTTTCATAATGTGCTAGTACGTGATGCCTACTAGCACAATATAACATTGCCTTGCAGGGGATTTTTTTTGCTGCAGTTTACTACTGCTTTAAAGTGGGACTAAAAAAATTGTTATCATTTGGAGTTCCTCTGCCCAAAAACTTACTTCACTTTCTCCTGACTTTTTCTATACACTGCCTGTGGCACATGCACAGAGCAGAGCCCACTCTTAGACCACTCCAAGATGTTGAAAATAAAGCTGGATGCCACGATAATGTAACGCTGATGCTCAGGAATGACTTCATCAGTAGCCAGCCAATGACCAAAGAATGAAGGTGCCATAACAAGACTTTACAATGGAAGCTAGACTGTACAGAATCCAGGGAACAGATTTCCCTGATACGTGAAGAGCTATTATAATATGTATAGTAAATCTTTGTGGATAGAAAACTGGAAGCTGCCAATACTGACTTGTTAAACGTGAAAAGCTGTCTTTGATCCCAGCTTCACTATCCAGTCACTGACATGGAAAAAACATGCAGCCAGAGACATCTGAAAGGTCTGAAATCCTGCATGCTTGTTCACTGTCAGCGACTCACTTGGTAGGGAAGGTCAGGACTAAAACTTTGGTTCCTTTATTTTGGGAACAAGTCAGCAATGACCTTTTTTATATTTATATTTCTGACTTTGACTCGGTTATAGTATTTGCTATCATTGATTTTTTTTTTTTAAGTATTTTTTCCTGAATTGTACAGCCTTTGTCTTTAACAGCTAGTTCCCACCTATCGATGTGCCTCACTCAGGGCACAATGTTTAATGACAAACCCATGTAGGCACTATGATTGGGAACTATGCTGTCATATTAGCTATACAAGACTTGAATTTCAGATGATTCCTAATAAACTGGGCAAAATTAGAGCTGTGGGTGGTCTTTTCGGCACCACCTGCCTTGACAGACTTCAATTTGAAAAGTGGAACATTCCCTGACAAACAGTGACTTTAGCCAATCGGATCCTGTTCAGGTATTATGACAGCCTGTGGATCAGCAACTTTTTATATATGATTACTGGCAGGGGAGTCTTCCATCTATGTCAAATGAGAAAAATCTACGTGTGTATGGCTAGCCTAAGGCAAAGGTGATTGACCCTCTCAGGTTTTTTTTTCTGCTGTCTATAACTCCAATGGTGAGATCTCTTCTACTCCTGGTATGGCTGTCCCAGGCTTGGATGCCAGCTAAAAGATTGCTTTACTGTCTGAATAGGTCATCAATGTATTCCTATGAAGAGGCTGGTAGAAAGTACAGGGAACACTGTATCAGACTTCCCCCTAGTGAATTCTTCATTGGAATATAGAACCCACTGGCCAATGACACCAGATCAATCCTTTTTTTCACACCATTAATGGTGAATAATCTATCTTGAGTTGGTATAACACTTTCCAGAGATGTTGGCTGAATAATTGTATTTTCTTTTTTCTTTAGAGAGTACTCAGTCATCAGGATGACACTGCTTTACTGAAGGCTTATATTGTAGAATGGCGCAAATTCTTTACACAGTGTGACATCTTACCCAAACCCTTCTGTCAGTTAGAAATCACTTTAATGGGAAAACAAGGAAGTAACAAGAAATCAAATGTGGAAGACAGCATTGTTAGGAAGGTAAGCCTTGATTAATGGATGTATTGGGGTTATGTTATGTCATCATATGTGCACCAGAGCATTCTTTACATGAATGTTTGCTTATGTTTAAACCGAGGCATCTACTCAAAGGTTGACGATGGACAGGTAGATGTCTAACTGAGGATGATGATCGGTGACTTTTTTAGCTATCTTTGCTTTATTTCCCTGATCCACAAAATCAATATGGCACATGCAAAATGAAAGGTTTTATTCATTTTTTTTCTATAAAAGGTTTTTGACAGCATGCTAAATATGTATTGATGTGAACATCAATGTGATGTACTTATAAAAGCAAAAAGCTACTTTTATTTCTTCTTATGTCTTTTAGGGCTCATTCACACTACATGTGGTGACCTGGATTTTTCTGCACTGGATAAACACAGATCACCTCCAGGGCACATAGGATACAACTATTTTCTATGTGTCCTGTTCACACCACGACACTAGTGTGATGTGCAGTGTGGTACAGTGTGGAAAAGTGTAGCATGCTTAAATTTTTCCGCAGCACAACGGATGGCACCGCTTAACACCCCACAGCAGCGCAACGTGCTGCTGTGCAGAGACATGAATGTATGTGACACGCCAAATAAAGTGAAGAAATCAAGTAAACAGTGTGATGTGCTGAAACATGCATTGCACCTCTTTCTTCCTGGTGCCGCCTCACTCTCTCCTCATTTGGCTATGATTGAAAGCAGCAGGAGCCAATGACTCCCACTGCTGCCAATGACTCTCTCTGAGGAGAGAGAGTCCCGGGACAGCCGAGGCCCCTGTGTACATCGCTGGATCGAGATGGATCTCAGGTAGGTATAAGGAGGACTGCAGGGGGAGCTGCATCCAGAAGGATTTTTACCTTCATGCATAGAATGCATGAAGGTAAAAAAGCCTTCTTCCATTAGAGCAAAATATATTAAATTGTATTCACCAAATGTGGTGGCTGCATTAGTTTTCAATTTTTAGGCTTTTTACATTTCGTTTCACCTGGTGAAGGAAATCAGTTTTTTTTCAATTTACTTTAACAGACCAAGCTTTCCAGACAAAGTAGCAATTTGATGGTTGAGACAAACAATTTAACACTGACAGGGGTGCTTACAATGGTCGGCTTTAAATTTAGTAATTTGTGAAAAACCTTTATCCCAAAAGGGAAAAACTTTTTGCAGCAACTGCTTAAAAAGTGTGAGCTGGAGTTCAGGATCAATTTGTTAAGCCAGTCCATCTAAATCTGCTAGTCTAACACTACCTCTGCCCAGATTAACAGGGTGTTGAATATTGAAGATTTTTCCCTAGGTTTTAGCTCTTCAAAAGAGTGAGTCTCCAGTGTGAGTAGCAGGATAGGGAAGTATGACGTCTTTCTAGGCAGGCCTTATTTTTACATGTTTTTAATTATAGTAAAAGAGCCATTTTAAAGCGGAGATCTACCCAAAAGGGGACGTTCTACTTTAACCACTTCAAGTCTGGACACTTTTACCCCTTTCCAGGCCAGTCCAGGCTTTCAGTGCTATCACACTTTGAATGACAATTGCGCGGTCATGCAACACTGTACCCATATGAATATTTTAGCATTTTTTTGAGACAGATAAAACTTTATTTTCGTGGTATTCACCACTGGGATTTTTTTTTTTTTGCTATATAAATGAAAAAGTCCACAAATTTTGAAAAAAGTGTTTTTCTTATAAACTTTTGCAAATACACAGTCTTTCTTCATAAATCTTGGCCAAAATGTATCCATCTATCTTTTTTAGTAAAAAAAAAAAAAATAACTCAAATTAGTTTATAACCAAAAATCATAATTTTTCTAAAAAAATTTTTTACATTTTTATTTTATTAATTTATATTATTATTATTTTTTTCATACTGTCACCCTAGCAGTACAGTGTCACCATAGTGACACTGTACTACTTGTGGGGGGCGATGAAGATTTTTTTTTCTTTTTTTACACTGATTACTTTTTACACCCATAAAGGCTGTAAAAGCAATCAGTTCGCCTTCTCTCTGGCTGCATTCCTGCAGCCATTGAGAAATACTGTGCGAGCTGTGATTGGTCCCAGCTTGTCACATGGTACAAGACTGTTTGTGAATAGCCTTGTACCATGTGACCTCTGTGATCATTCACAGATTTCACAAGTAGTAGACAATGATGTCAGGAAGTGACATCTTGTTTACTACTGCTCATGTGATCACTGATTGGCCAATCAGTGATCACATGAATCGGGACCTCACACAGAGGCCTCTTACAGCATGCACCGGCAATGGATGCGTGGGGACATTTAGAAACGCCCCCCCACATCGGCAGCGCTCCCGTCCAGCCGTTTATCAACATGGACCAGACGGGAAGAGGTTAAGTATTTGTCCCCCAATCCCGCGAGGAATTACCACCTTTGGGGGGTGGGGAGAGGAGTGAATACCCGATTTTGACAGGTATCCAGCCCCACTTTTGCTGCAGTCACCTAGGCAACTGGAAGCAGAAGTTGTCCTCGCCCTCCCCGTAGTCTTCTGTGATATGTCCCAGAAGACTATGGGACCATTCACAAGGTGCAATGCTACTCACACATGCGCAGTAGGCATCTGACTGTGAACCTGTAAGCTTTCACACCCAGGTGCCCACACTTAGGATGCCAGCGTCAGGAAGATAGGGCGGCCGGTGAAAGGCAAGTGGCTGTTTTTTAAATTCAGCCGTTACCATTTTTGTAGCTGCTGACTGTTAATTTTCATAGGTTTGACTGAAGCTCCACTTTAAAATATATCTAATCCCAAGTGCAAAAATATCATGTAATTTATCTTATCAGTACTTAGATGTGGTAGCTGCGTTAGATTTCTTTTTTTTTTTCCAAACTAAGATACATTTTCTGAAATTGCAGAAAAAAAGTCCTGTTGAGCCTAACAGAAATCCTGTGTCCTTGTAACTTGCTGTTCACTGAAGTTAAATATCAGATGATGTCATCAGCCTCCTGCGTGTCTCCCCTCTGTAATACAGAATAATTCTTTCCTATGTTATAGTGATGAGCAGAAGGGGAGGTATTTGTAGTCCAAATCAGGAGAACAGCGTAAGGTCTAAGGACAATGCTGCTCTTTAATAGATGCAGTACAGTAAGCACATGAAGTTTGTTACGGGCTGGATCAGCAAATGAGAATAAAAAAAGAAAGTGAATGCAGCCACCATATCTAAAGACTGGTAAACTGCAATATATTATATTTTTGCTCTTGGGTCTAGATATGCTCAATTACTTATACACAGGTTGTGTACTCAGAGGAGGCCACCACTATCTTTTTATTTTACAACAAATTGGTATATTACACCAGATTCAAATTGAAACAATTTTTCTTGTGCAAAGGTGATATGAATATGTCTCTTCATTTGGTTTTATATCTTGTCTTGCAGCTGATGCTGGATACGTGGAATGAATCAATATTTTCTAATATAAAGAATCGTCTTCAGGACAGTGCAATGAAATTGGTCCATGCTGAGCGGTTAGGGGAAGCATTTGATTCCCAACTAGTTATTGGTGTTAGAGAATCCTATGGTGTGTGTTACAAGATGTACTAGCAATCTTTTGTTTTTTTTCTGTATTATGAACATTATGTTTGTGAGCCAGATTTTTCTCTTTGTGGAGTAATTACCTACTTCCTCTCCCCAGAAATCAGTGTGTATATTGTGTATTATACTGTATGACTAAATATACTGCTGTTATTTTACTAAAGTGGCACTAAACTCAAATGATGTGTTTAAAGCATTGTTAACATTTTTGTTGAGGTTGATATATTAGGTGTTTCAGGCATTTTGTTACTCTTATTTACAGGCTTTAATAAGTGTTGTACATACATGAGATTCTTAAAAAAACATTGGGGTTGACTTACTAAAACTGGAGATTGCAAATTCTGGTCCAGCTCTGCATAAAAACCAATCGGCTTCCATTATTTTATTTTTTGTTTCTTTATCAAAGCTTAATTGAACAAGCTGACGTTAGACTATATTTGGCTACAATGCACAGCTGCACCAGATATTGCACTCTCCAGTTTTAGTTAGTCGACTCCATTGTCATATTACCAATGTAAGGCAAAGTGGCAGGGGCTATAGGAAGGGCATCCCCAGACCCCAGTATGCTTGCATCATCTGCACTCCTCTTGAAGCTCTCTTTGCAGACAGTGACACTACCCAGCACTTCCAAGTATGGAGGAGAAGGTAAGCTTCTGCCCTGTTATAGTGCCTAAGCCTAGCAGCCTATCACTAGGACCAAGCACTGACACATGACTGTGGTAATAGGATTACTGCTGCCCTGAGTCCCCAACGCACCAGGATGTCATTTCTGTCTGCAGAGGAGCAAGGAACTGTGTGGGAGTACAGGTAAGGAAGGCATAGGAAGGTAGGTCATAAGGTGCCCTTTCAAGAGACACTTTGTTAACTTACCCTGCTTGGGCAAGGTGAAAGGCTCTTTTTATTTACCTAATTTATTTAGCATTAAAGTGTTTCGAAACCCAGGACCCTGTATTCACTCTATCTGGTCTCCCACAGTACACCGAACTTGGAAATGCAATTATTTTAGTAAATATAAACCGCTAAACACCTTTTTTCATCAACAGTATATAGCAGTCTTGTGACTTTTATCAGTGTCCAGCATAGCACTGGTTAAAGCTTGTAGGAGACGTTTTAATTCTGCTCTAGGAGGATGCAGGATCCCTGACCTCTGGACAGTGCTGATTGGCCCTGTGCTCATCACATGCACTCTCCCAAAAAAAAAAAACCCTTTATCAATACACACCAAACTGAGCATGTGTAGAGTATCTCCTAGGGCTCTGCATTATCAGCACATGGAATGACAGTGAGTAGAACAAGCATGCTTTACTGCATATGCACAGACTGATTTTACTGTTGTGGGTTTAGTAACACTTTAAGGCAAAATCTAGACAAATCTGAAAATTAAGCATTCAGATATTCAAACACATCTTTACCTATCCTTACCTATTCACAGCTTCAACAGGAAAAGGACAGGGCCGGTAAATTACATATTTTACCAGCCCCTTCCCACCACTCTCCATCCTGAAACAATCCTTGCGGCAGAATAGGAGGAAGCCGGCAGTGCTGCAAGGTGGGCTGACCAGGGGAGCACACAGGGGGTCTGAGCAGCAGAAGGAAGTGGAACCTGGACAAGAGGGACAGCGGAGGTGGCATTTTACTGGAAGCTATCCCCTGTATTTTCCTCCTAAAGCTGCTGAAAGCTGACGGGAAGGAGAGGAGGAGAAGCAGCCATTCAGCTGCTGCAAGAGGAAAATACAGGGACCAGTTCCAGTAAATGCCGCTGCTGCTCCTGTTAAGGATTCATGGTTGACAAGGGATGGGATCCTACCTGTCACCTACCCCCAATCAATGGGTTGCCGTCACCCATGTTAAACTATTTAGTCTGTCATGAGACTTTCAGTTCTACATCTGGGTGTATACATAGCTTTTATATTACTGGTATTGCGGATGCCCTGAAGGTGTCTGTGCTACTTTAAATAATATTTTTCTATGCTGCAGTGCTTTGCTTTTTCTTCTGGTACCCAGAGCACTACTGAGAGGCCCATTTGTAATGGAGAAAAAAACAATTTCCACTCTCTGCAATTACTGCAATGTGTTGGCATTTTATGATTTATTTATGAATACAGAGCACAGTTTTGAGCTTTAGGTGTACTTTAATGTGCTACCTGCATAATGCTGTAGAGAACACTTGTGGCAAGGTGGAGATCTGTCACATGACCTTGAACAGTTCATGCGACAGGTTTCCACCTCCACACAACACTTTTTTCCACATCGTGCTGAGGAATGTTTATGTACAGATTGTGTGCAAGAAGGGATTAATATTCACCAAAACCTCCATATATGTGGCTAAAAGAATCTTTTTAGTCAGCGAACAGGGATTTTTGACACTGAATGCAATATAAAATAGACATGACATAATCACACCACACATCATTGCATATACTACAGTATTTAAACCACATTCAACTGAGCAAAGCCCCAATGCTGGCAGTAATCATTAATGGCTGACCAACAATAAAGGTTATGATTCAGTCTTTAATCTGACGCACGATCATAGCAGCACTGGGAGGCTAAGCATGTTTACTTATGTAGAAGTGTTTTCTGATGTCCAAATTGAAAAGATTTTGTTTTGTGTTTTGGTTTTCAGTTAATCTTTGTTCAAATCCAGAATACAAACTGCAGATCTATCGGGATAATTTTGAAAAAGCCTATTTAGATTCTACGGAGAGGTTTTACCGAACCCAGGCCCCTTCCTACCTCCAACAAAACGGTGTACAGAATTACATGAAATACGTAAGATGATATTGGAAATGTGTGACATCTGTGTGCCTTCCAGAGGAGAAACTCTTTATAACGGATATTTCACTCTGAACAGGCAGATGCTAAAACTAAAAGAAGAAGAGAAGAGAGCCCAACGATACTTAGAGACAAGGCAAGAATGTAACTCTGTGCAGGCGGTGAGTGTGCTGAAAGGCTTTCTAGTATTTGTGAATGCATGACCCCTGTCATGAGACAATCTCCAAGGCTGAATTGCTGACCTTTCCTTCATTATTGAATGGGCTTCAATATGTTGAGCCATTGACCTGTTACAAGTATAAAGATTTTTTTTTGCACCTCATTTACAGCATCCATATTCCAGGTCTGTGGCTGAGAACGTATTCAAGTTGGACACAGCCAGATAATAATCATTTTTTAGAAGGGTACCAGCAATATCAGCCCCTATACTTCTATCTTGATTGGGCCACTTTATATCTAAAGCGAAAACTTTTATTTTTTTCTTTTGCATAATGTCATTTTTCCCCAATTCTGTCCCACCGGGGAGATTTGTCGTCAATTCCTGTACTGTAGACACAACAGCAGTTGAGAGGAAATTTCCCCAAATTGAGGGAATTACCGTTGCCTGACAGTTGTCCGGAAAAACAAGTACCCTCATTGAAAGATTTTCTCGTCTATTCATGTCCTGTATTACACTCAAATTCTTGGATTTTCCCACCACTTTGTCATCAGGACCATTTGGGAGTATATTTCTCTAACCTGGACAGAGAAATAAAAAGCCTGACAGGGCTTCTGATCCCTCACTACATTATCCACACAAAAAACACTGTTTTTTTAAGTGTACCTGTTTAAACAGACTTTCATAAAGTACTTTCATATAAATGTTTTCAAGATTTAGAGCTAGACTATCTGTACAATCCTTTGATTCCATATGTTCCTAATTACAGCTCATGGAGTGCTGTGTTAATGCCCTGGTGACATCCTTCAAAGAAACCATTTTAGCTGAGTGCCAAGGAATGATCAAACGCAATGAGACAGAAAGTAAGTAGTTACTAATACACTTGTATCATTAATTTAAAGAATAAATGCACCTTTAAATCAGCTGCCCTATTTAAAGCGACTCTGTCTCTAAAAATGTAAAAGAAAAGTACTGATACCTGTCCGCCCCCCATACATATGATCTTCAATTTTTCTTTTGCAGAACAGCGCTAAATAAATTATCTTCATCATCCTATGTCCTCTGCTGCACTTTTTGGTTCCACCTGCAGGCCGCTACATCAGTACAAAAGAAAGTAAGTGATGTAGCAGCTGGAGGTGGAAATGGCTATCGCACAAACTGGAAGTGTGCGGGTGCTGAGAAATTCTTTTGGCTAGTGTAGCAGCAAGAGGTCAAAGATCACAAGCACAGGCAGGGGACAGGTTAGTATTTATTATTATTTATTTAATTTTTTATATATATATATATATATATATATATATAGCAAAGAATTACTTTGCTAAACCATGCATACAGTGGGGAAGTGCTAGAAAATGGACTCCTGCTTTCCTTCTTACTGTCCAGGTTATAGGTGTCAGAACAGGATGTGAAGGACACCAACAGCATTTAGAGCTTCCAATTTTTCCCCACTTTCATCCAAAAAAATGTAGGAGTGCTTTTACCAAGGTAAATGAAGCAAACTTTGAAATATAACTTTCTTAATCATACAGTATGGGACACATGATCTTTAACCCTTTTCGCTGCCAAGAAGTTAAGGACTTATGTCTTAACAAAACTGGTTATAGCTGGCTGGCTTAGTAAGCCTTACATCCTTGGCATTTCCTTCATGGTCCAGAGATCATGAACTTATATTAGAAGGGTCCCTTAGACTCCTTCTCACTAAGGAATTGCTACCATCAGCCACTGACGAGCAATATTGCACACATTCCCAAAGTACATGAGTTGCAGCGTATCACAATAAATTTTAACTTAGTACTTTGCGTTGCAGTGTGCTGCGTTTAAAAAAAAAAAAAAAAAAAAAAAAGTACTTTTTGTGTGATGTACGTGTACAGACTTTCCTGAACATGTCACTGCCCATACAGTCAATAACATTGGGTTTAAGTGGGAAAATATTCATTCCATGATTGGTCATGTAGAAATAGATTCAATGCGCACAGGTTGTTTGTCAGTAGTAAATTCAAAGACATGAAAGCAAGCATGAGCATTCATGCATAGCAGGACAGAAGACAGTTATTGGTAAGCTTAGTAGAAAATCCATGCTGAGATAGAAGCACAAACAAATGTTACAGGCATGGACTTGGTAGAAATAGAGCATGACAGCAAAGTCTCGGTTTATTTTTCCTCTCCTGTGTGCTTCAGCAATTCTACCTGTACACAGACATCTCATACATCTCATATATATATATATATATATATATATATATATATATATATATATATATAAACAGAATGGGCTTACTTGGGTATTTTGTGTTACCATCCTTACGAATTCTTTCTATGCCTGAGGTACCATATCCCAGGCACTAAGTACAGGATGTCCTTATGAAGTCCATGTTTTGATGAAACGCATCAGCACAGGGTCATACCTGCGTGTGGGTACTGGGTCTTATGGTTGCCTGCTTTGAGATGGTATCATATGCCCAAATTAATTCCAGATTGTTGCAAGTTCACATTATGGCACCATGGGACATGCAGACCCTTCCCTTGTACCATGTGTCTGACTCCCAAGGCCAGACTCTCCTTAGTGTGCTGGATTTAAAACCCAGCACTGGAGTCAGGGAATCCTTGTTCCATTCTAATGGTTCACAGTCAGTTGGACCTTTTACATAGCTTCTTTCGTTACTGCATGTACGGCTTGGCAGACAAACCTTGTCAGCTCTTCAGGATGAATCTCCTCTCCATTTGCAAACACAGGATCCTTTGCCTTGTCCTTTGCTGGTCAGATGAGCTCCTGTGCAAGAAGCTCCTTGAGTGGGTACACTTTCAAGGTGAATGCCTGTTTGGTACCTCTTTGGATAAGTACAATAAAATAGATTATAGGGTAGGAGTATTCTGCTCCCCCTCTGCCTCTAGGATGTCTGCTATTGAGGTTAGGAATAGTTCCTTTTGGCCCTCTCTGTTTTCCAATTCCAAATTTAATGCAGGGATCTACTTTTATAAGAAGACATAACCCTCCACACCAGCCAGGCCTGATTGCAAGGTTTCTTCCTAGTGTTGGGGTGCCCTGGGGTGATGTTTGTAGCCTTTTGGTACCAGCAAATCTCAGACACCTGAGACCAGAGTGTTATTTTTGAGGGCTACAAACTGGAGTTTTGCATTTTGCCTTTATTCCAGTTTAAACTAGCCTATATCCCTGTTCTGGGGCGGGGATCTGCTTACTACTGTATGGTACACCCATTTTTTACTGCAGACATTTGCAACACAACATTCTGGCAGCCTGAAAAAAGACTGCCCCTTGCATCTGACTACCAAGGCCAGACCATCCCTAGCATGGTCGATTTCTGATCCAGCAATGGAGTCAGGGAACCTCTTTTCTCCAAAGACATGGACGGTTCTTATAGTGAATGCCAGCTTGTCATGCTTGAGTGTGGTTTAGGATGCCTTCATGGTGCAGGGGACTTGATTCTTCCTCATGATCTCTACAGCATTAAAATAAAGGGTATTCCATTGATTCCCATCACACTGAATTGGCTGAGGAGGACATGGTACTTGGACACACTCAGATTCCTGGCAGCCTCTTGTGAAGTGGTGATGTGGGTTTTGTGGGAATTAAAAGATGTGGTGAGTAACTTTTTGCCTGCCAAATATCCTCTGAAAAGAGATCCACTGTGGATTGCTCTTCAGAGGGCACCACAAATGTGAATTGGCCCTTAGTGCCTCATGGGCTTTTTCAGCATCAGACATCTGTTTCTCAGATTTTCAAGACTACCTCCTGGGCTTCACATGTTTGTGAAGTTCTGCCAGGTGGATGGCAAGCCTCAACTGTTGCCGGTTTTGGGCATACTGTGCTGCAAGATGCTCTAATGTTGTCCAGCCTGTCTTGACACATTTTTTTGTGGGCCTTTTAATGTTTATTGTGTTGCCCACCCCAAAGAAGAAGTGCTTTTAGATGACCAAATGGTGCTACAAGCTGCTCTGGGAGTCTGTCCAGCCTCTCTTGACTCATTTGTTTTTTGGGACTTTTATTTATTTTTTGTGTTGCCCACCCCAAGTAGAACTGCTTTTAGATGTCCAAGTGGTAATAGTTAAAGATCCTGTGTCCAGTACTGTACAATTAAGAATAGTTGTTTTAGTGTAATGCTAGGTTCACATATGTGCGGCTCTGTGAGCTGTGGTTTGCATGGGCATGGCAGCCCCATTTTCATTTGAATGGGCTGCTGTGCCTCCTGAAAAGCAGAGAAAAGGTCTTTGCAGGATTTCAGAAATTGCAGCCCGCACGGGAACCGTAAGCACAGTGTGGTTCCCAGTGCAGGAGCTAATTCCAGTGCATGCAGTGTGCCATTAGCATTAATGTTACCCGCACACCACTCCTGTGTTTTTCCTGTGTGGGTGGTTGCGGCTGCAGAACCAGGTGCATTACCGCAGCAGTAATCACCCACACATAGATGAACCTAGCCTAATAGTTATTTTTTACTTACCAGTCATATCAGTTTCTTGTAGTTCAGTATGGGACACAAGTCCCTCTGTTCTGTTCTTATGATCTCCATATTGCTTGCTGCAAAGCTGAAGATATCCCTGCAGCCGTCTTTTTAGCTAGTGTCCAATCACCTGAAGTTGGCTTCTTATAACCCAGTGGTAATGAAGATTCTGTGTCCCATACTGTAGAAACAAGTTTTACAGATTTTAACCCTATTTTCCTTTGCTTTTTTTCTGCTGAGCCACCATCAAAGCTCTGTATTTTCAGAATTTAACTGAAATAAGGTATATCGGGGTTCCTTTTAAATGTGCATCCATGTAAACGCTTGTAACAATAGCCTGGCAGAGGTCACATTAGATGCTATTAGTTAAGGTGTCTGGAGATTTCACCTTTCTCAGGCTTCTCTCTTGACTTTGTATCTGTACACATGATTTCTTATAGTGGGCAGAAGGAGTGTACTATATAGAAAACAGTATAGCTACTAACAGTGAAAGTATTCAATTACTGGGTAAAGAGAACATGACATTTCATTTTTTTTTCATCACAAAGGTGCATTTATTCTTTAAATCCATTCACACCATTGCCTGAAATGAAAAAAAAACTTTTTTTGCTAATAGGACCTTTTACATGTGTTTTAGTGTTGTCTCCAGGCCTTGTTTGCGCTGTTCACAGTATGTTATGAATGTATAGCTCTATATGTGGATAGTAATGGTGTTTCAGAAAGCACGGGTAGCCATAGCAGAGCATTTTTAATAAAATATGAATTTCTCACATACTGGCCATACAGGTAACAATAAATGTTCATTTTTAGACTTAATTGTTTTCAATGGAAATACTATTCCATTTGAAAACAATCGTTTAATGCAACAAAGGAAAAATCCGTTTGGTCCAGGTCATTCATTTTCCGACAGACCAAACATTTTGTGTTCTTTAACAATTGCATATCAATCATCATTCAAAGTGCTTATCAAAATCAAGTGTAGTTGATATCTGACAGATTGTATATAAGATACAGGAACGGAACTCAAATATGAAACATGACTAAAATTTCATATTATCAATGTTTAAACTTTGATAGTTTTTTTTTAAAACGGATTTAATTTTCATATAGTTGCTCACATTTGATAGCTTTGCCTATGACTGCTTATCCAATGTTTTAAGCGTCCTCAAAATATTTTCACAGGGTCAGGTTACCAACACAGCTGTATTCATTAGTTCAAAGAGCCCACTTTCATCAGCAAGGTATACTTATCAATTCAAGCTACATTGCTGTCTTCCTGCTTTGTCAGAGCCCATCATTGGCAGTCATTGGGCCTGATAGCAGCCATTCACGAGACTCAAATACTGCCACGGTGTCTGATCCAGTGATCATGACGTCATCTTCCTGGGTAAGCTACGCGCTTACCTGTTGTGGAATGTTGTAGTGCCAGGGAGTGTAGATCTTGAATATACCTTGCACGGGATAGTTGGACTTTTATGGAGCTTTTTCACTTGGTCTTTTCTGATAACTACTGGTATTTTGAGTGATAGCACTTGCCAAATATGGAAAAGAGATCCCCAAATTAGAAATAGATTTTTCACAACTTTCATTTTTCTAAGGATACTTTTACTGTCACTTTGGTGACCACGTCTTTTTACAATGCACCTCTCAGCCTGTTCTGACCTGTCTTATCCAGGGGTGCTAGGTTCCTGGCTATTGATGCATTGTCTTCCATGCTTAGAATCACTGACCTGAAAGTATGGAGATAAAAAGTTCTGGTACTTCTCTGTCACCTATTTAAACCGTGTTTGTTATGGGTAGCTGGAAACAGCCAGGTCACTATTTTCAGAAGAAGACCAGCTGTAGCAGCCCAATACTTCTTTCATGAATGAAATACATGCAACATTAGCAGAATTTGGTGGACCAGAATTGAGAAGTATTCCTCCTGAAGTGCAAAGGATTTCATTAAACAAATACACATGCAAGTGCATTTGTTGCCCAAACCTATGATATTCAGGTTATAGGCAACAGGTAACTTGGCTTCTGTTTTTACTGTTGGGCTCTTTTTTGTCTGTGCCCTGATTTATATCTACTGGTACACTTGTCAGTTTTTGTTCTATATCACACATTTTTTATATTGGCTTGTACTATATGTGGTTTGTGTGTTTTTGGAAAGATAATCTCTTCGGGGCTAAATCTCCCCTCTGGTCTCTCAATAGAGTTGCACTTAATGTTTTCTCTCATGGATAAAGTTCCAAGTGGAATTGAGCCGATGCTGAAGGACCTCGAGGAGCACATTGTGAGTGCTGGACTAGCAGACATGGTGGCAGCTGCAGAAACCATTACTACTGTAGGTATTCTGTTCATATGTTCAATGTAGTGCAGTCATGTCTGAATTGCTTAGTGTTTTATGTATAAGTAGGGTTCCCTGTTACGTAAATTGGAAGAGTGTATGCTGGAATTTGCATTTACTCTTCCTATTACCGTATTTTCCGGCGTATAAGACGACTGGGCGTATAAGACGACCCCCTACTTTTCCTGATAAAATATAGGGTTTGAGCTATACTCGTCGTATAAGACTACCCCTCTTCCAACGCACACCCAAAATAAAAAATGAAAAAACATCAGATTCGATTTCAATATGGTGTGCTATTTCAGTATGGTATTCCAATGATGGGGTGCTATTCCTCCCACTGACACCAATGATGAGGCACTACTCTCTCCCACTGACACCAATGATGGGGCACTATTTCATCCACTGACACCAATGATGGGGCACCTATTCCTCCCACTGATACCAATGATGGGACACTATTCCTCCCACTGACACCAATGATGGTGCCCCCATCATTAGTGTCAGTGTGTGAGAAATAGTGCCCCATCATTAGTCAGTGGGAGGAATAGTGCCCCATCATTAGTCAGTGGATGAAATAGTGCCCCATCATTGGTGTCAGTGGGAGGAGTAGTGCCTCATCATTGGTGTCAGTGGGAGGAATAGTGCCCCATCATTAGTCAGTGGGAGGAATAGTGCCCCATCATTGGTGTCAGTGGGAAGAATCGTGTCCCATCATTAGTGTCAGTGGGAGGAATAGTGTCCCATAATTGGTGTAAGTGGGAGGAATAGCTGCCCATCATTGGTATCAGTGGGAGGAATAGCGCCCCATCATTGGTATCAGTGGGAGGAATAGCGCCCCATCATTGGTGTCAGTGGGAGGATAAGCGCCCCATCATTGGTGTCAGTGGGAGCAATAGCGCCCCATCATTGGTGTCAGTGGGAGGAATAGCGCCCCATCATTGGTTACAATCAGTGGCAGGAATAGTGCCCCATCGTTGGTGTCAGTGGGAGGAATAGTGCCCCATCATTGGTATCAGTGGGAGGAATAGTGCCCCATCATTGGTGTCAGTGGGAGGAATAGTGCCCCATCATTGGTATAGTGGATGGAATAGTGCCCCATCATTGGTATTAGTGGGAGGAATAGTGCCCCATCGTTGGTATCAGTGGGAGGAATAGTCCCCCCCCATCGTTGGTGTCAGTGGGAGGAATAGTGCCCCATCATTGGTATCAGTGGGAGGGAATAGTGCCCCATCATTGGTATCAGTGGATGGAATAGTGCCCCATCATTGGTATTAGTGGGAGGAATAGTGCCCCATCATTGGTATCAGTGGATGGAATAGTGCCTCATCATTGGTATCAGTGGGAGGAATAGTGCCCCATCATTGGTGTCAGTGGGGAGAATAGTGCCCCATCGTTGGTATCAGTGGGGGGAGAACAGTGCCTCATCGTTGGTGTCAGTGGGGGAGGAATAGTGCCCCATCTTTAGTGTCAGTGGGGGAGAGGAGCGGCTGCTCCTTCCCAGTTTCGGCCGCTCGATTTTCGCGGGGCCGCTCGGCTCCGCTTCCTCACCGGTGATTGGTCGCCTGTGTGCCTTTCCAGTGCTGGCGCCCAATCACCGGTGAGGAGGCGGAGCCGAGCGGCCACGTGACCATCGAGCGGCCGAACTGAAAGAAGGAGCAGCCGCGCTTCCTGGACCGGATCGTCGTGGGACCGGAGCCAGGTAAGGTACAGCAGCCCCTCTGCCCACCCCTGTACTTTGTGTCCTTTGGAGGAGGAGGGGGGGCGGCGCCGCGCCGCTCCTCGAAAAAGTGCCGCCCTGACACCGGCTCGCACCGGCGTATAAGACGACCCCCGACTTTTCAGAAGATTTTCAGGGGTTGAAAAGTCGTCTTATACGCCGGAAAATACGGTAGTTTTTCATCTTACTATATAAGCAATCATATACTGTGATTTAAGAGCTGAAGAGTAATATCACATTATTGGTTAAAAATATAATTATAGGTAAGAACCAAAATAAGAAACAAAGTCCTTAATTTTCATATTAGGTGAGGCTTTGGTTTTGCTTCTTCAAACTTTTAGCCCCGGTTCACACATATGCAGTGCGGGTGTCAGGCTCCGCCCAACGGGATCTCTAGTGGTCCACGGCACGGGGTTTCCCAGGACACGGAGTCTAAGTCCCAGTCTGCCTTTTCACCAGGGCCCCTGATGGTGGGGATGGACTTGGTGCAATACTGAAACCAGGTCGCGTTCCTGGGCACCCCCGACGGTGGCAGAGGGGTCCCGCTGAGGGTATGTGCCCGGGTTGAACCTGCTGTGAAGGGGATGACAGATCCCGATCCGAGCGGGATGGATGGGATGACAGATCCCGATCCGAGCGGGATGGATGGGCGACTGTCAGGGGTAAGCGAGGTCAGACTAGCCGGGTCGGTATCGTGCGGGCAGCGTGGTACCGAGGGTCAGGCAGAAGGATGGTCAGGAACGACGGGGTCAGAGCAGGAGAGGGTCAGCGTATATCAGAACAGGCAGAGTTTGGCAACAAGGAAACGTACTTACAGGACAGGAAAAAGACCTTGCGGCAACTTGGATATGCACAGGGCCGTTTAAATATGAGCGCCCTGTTCTTTCATTGGTGCGGTCGCGATCGCTAGTGCGCATGCGCGGCCGCCGCCGCGATCGCCGAGGACCCAGCACTCTGCGCATGCGCGCACCGCCGCGAGCCCAGGATCCCTGACAGCGGGAAACGCTTCCAGCACCACAGTGCAATCGCACATGTCAGTATAAAGTTAACAACACCCCGAATGCATCCCAATCACAGTGCAGCTTGCCCGCATCGGATGACATGGAGCTCCAAAAAAGGTGCTTGCACTTCTGTAGTGTGATGTGGTGGTGATTTGAGCCAAATCAAACTGAATAGGCACAAATCACACCACAGAGAATCGCAGGTGAATTGCACAGGAATGCTGTGCGATTCACTTGTGGTTTATAATGTGAACTTGGGCTAATACGAAGTTTTACTGATTTATTTTTCATATATGATGCTTATCACCATGTCTCTATTGTTGAGCATTGGGGCAAAAATGATGTTAGCCTTCGTTAAAATGTTGTCTTTGAAAATGTTCTTTTTAGTTATCTCTAATAAGCAGAGCTCCTTGCACCTTTTTTCTTATTCTGTCATTACTGGTTATTTTTCTTATATATAACGATATAACCTATATAACAGACTAATGCTGTTTTTCTTTATTTTGTGTTGGCTAGGATTCTGAGAAGTATGTAGAGCAATTACTGACATTGTTTAATAGATTTAGCAAACTAGTAAAAGAAGCTTTTCAAGACGATCCAAGATTTCTAACTGCTCGAGACAAGGTAGGCTGAAATTTTAGTTTGCTATAGTTGACGCATTTCTTCTTCTCTATGTATTTATAGAGCGTATAGTTAAATTACTCCAGTAAATTATTAAGTCAAATAGAAAACATGGATGTACATTGTCATTCATTTAATTGTATAGTTGATTCCGCAGGCAACTTTGGTTTTGTGTTTGTGCTTCGCATGTGTTGCCAGTGTAGTTTCCTGGTTTTGATGTTGATCCAGTGCTGTCATACTGTTTGTTAGTGACTGGAACAGACATGCAGTCAGGAGATTGGACTTCACTAACTGCATGCTTGTTCTGAGCCAGAGGTATGAAGAAATTTGATCTTTCTCAACCAGCTAGCTGTATACCAATGAATAATTATTACTGCCCCTATTATGGTTGTAATAGGTGCAGCAGTGGGAATGAAGCAGGACAATGGGCTGTGAAGAAAGGATGTATGGATGGGGGAATTTAGGCTCTGCCTGCTTAATGTTCAGCTATCAAAGTGCCATGGTATTTTTGGAAGGCTAATTGAAATATTTGGATTGCTGACCACTTTCTGAAAATGCCAATTGCCTAGCGATAATACTGATTGTTGGGAACCCTTTACATTACTTACCTAGAATTCATTTTGATCAGTGGTTCTGATTTCACTGGTTAAATGATTGGTTCAGTTCAGTGACTCAGAAAAGACAAATGCAGCATTTTGTTCGGAAGGCCAGCAATGGAAGCTTGCCTGTCTCTTTTTGGACAAGTTCCCCTTAAAGAAGCACTCTCATGAACATTTAACATTTTTATTTACAGGACTTTTTGCTGTTCGGATCGGTTGCCCAGTTTTCTCCCAAAATGCACCTTTAAATGCTAGCTTTAGCTCCACCCCCCTTTTTGAAGCCCAAATTATACAGGGAGAAGTACAGCCAGCACAGTGCCCTGCCCCCTCTCTAGCAGGAGCTTCTCTTACATGTACACAGCCCTGTCCGATGGATCACAGCGTGGCATATCTGAGTGATCATTACTATTAATTAACAATCAGCACTGATCATCCATAATAGTGACAGATCACTCAGCACTGTAACTCTTTGTCTATCTGTTATTTCTTTTACACATACACCGCCCTGGCTGACGGATCACACAGCACCGCGGCGCTGTGTGATTTTTCACTTTTATGAATGAACAATCAGGCAGGTGCCTTGTATGACACCATCTTGCAGTGCTGATTGCCCAGTATGTACTTGGTCCCCTGGGGCAGTAAATAGAGAACTTGTAATGAGACTTCTTGCTTGCAGCAGTGTTTTGTACCCCATGCTCAGTGTTTTGGCAAAATATGAGTCTTGGTATCTCACAACCTGTGCAGCAAACCTCTTAAATGGTTACTGAGGCCCCAACGTTGTATTAGAGATGCTAGTTGGTATTTGAATGTGGAGTATGAAGAGTTTCCAGGGTGTGTTGGCATTACATCATGGTCTCTGCTGTCTTGGTATTCTGAACAGAGTGACCCTAAGGCCTAAAGAAAACTCCTATAACTAAAACTTTGTAGTGAACACAAAATTATTAATTACCTTGGTGATAATGGCTTAAGACAGCTACGTAATGTCTGCAAAAACAAAATCCATACTTCTTGATTTTCTTTTTTTTCACAAAGCATGATGTGACAGCCACATGGTAACCAGACCATTGTATAACAGCATATGTTTAGTTTAATTGAAATTAGGAATGACATGGACGAGATTGATTAAGGATATTTTTAATTATTTAGGCAGCATTGAATATATCCAAAATTTTCCAAGCTATTTTGAAATTTGTATATTTGCATTTGTGAATTTATAGCCTTTAGAAAGGAAACAAACATTTTCATTGTGCCTCATATTATCCTTTAGGCATACAAGGCTGTGGTAAATGATGCAACAATATTTAAACTGGAGCTACCACTAAAGCAAAAAGGGTAAAGTACATTTTCTTATTGTTGATGGGGGAACATAGGTCTATCACTCTGTCTTGATTATAGAAGGTTGCTCATCTCTAGCCTTTCAGTATTTTGACAAGTTTGTAATTGCGGTCTGTTGTATTTTTTTTTATGTATTTTTTTTTTTTTTTTAGGTTTAAACATTTTTAAACTGCTGTCTCACATCTATTATATAGTATAAAATATGCTGTAAAGTAAGGATGATTTCAAGAATAGGACAATAGTTTTTATGCAATAGTTTTTATTTATCAATTAACCTACAAAATACATAAACAGAAAAAAACTTAAGTCAAACCCACAATGTGATACTATCAGGGAGGCGTCCAAGTGGGTCCCATTACATTTTTCAGCAGCCTAAGACATATAGGCAAATTATAGTGAAGACACAAATGAGTCCTAAAAGAGATGGTATAGCTCAACACCAAGTCTTTCTGGTGGTACATAAATTGACAGAAGCAACTGAGACAACCTAAATCAATAGAAGAACTGTGGTTGTTTATTGTTTATTTTAGATTTTGTTTAACACCCTGAATGCAGAGTTCCTACAAAATTCTGTGTGCAAGTGTATCTGGGAGAATTTATGCTATTTTAAAGGCAAAGGGTGGACATACTGAAAATGATCTTGATTTATTTTTTTTGTTTATACACCCTGTAGGTTTTTTTTAATTAATATTATTTCATTATTATTATTTTTTTTTTTAAAGCATTCTCACGTTACAGCAAGTGCCTAAAATGTTTGCACAATACTGTATGCATACCATTTATGTTTCATATTTCATGCATAAGAGGATTCCTTGAGCACCATGGGTTAGCTAAAAAGACATCACAGTTAGTGGGTTTTTTTCTTCAGGCAGACTGGCTGTCACTTAAACCTCAGCCCTCTGATGGGGGATTTCACCCTGGTCTACTAAGTCTTTAAAAACATTCTTTTTTAACAGTGGGATAAATAAGGATATAAATAAGTGCCTCTTGTTGGTCAAAAAAGATAAAACAAAATATTATTCTGCAATTTACCATATTTACCTGACCTTAAGTAAATGCAATATACATTAATTCTAAGGGTCAATACCCTAAGATACTTGAAAGTGGAACTCTGGTCAGCTTGCAAAAACAACCTTTCAGTCCCACAAAGCCTGGTCATGTGTTAAATGACCTCATGAGGATGTTGAGGGCTGTCTTTTATTTCCCAAAGACTAAATGAGCATTAGGGCCCATTCATGCCAGGGTGATCCTTTGAGGTGCAAATAATGTGTGTTGCATTAAGGCAACCCATTCAAATGAATGCACCACAATGGGTCAAAATATCCTACCTGCTGAATGTTTGATGCAAAGTACAAGTGATGCATTAGTGCATTACTGTGTTGTGGTGCGCTGCAATGCACTCAGTGTGCAAGTGTGTTAGGGTGCCATTTTCAATGAATGGCACAACAGTGTACCAAGGCACACACAATACAGTGGTGTAAATGGGCCCTTACTGTGCAAGAAGGAGGGCAACAGTGATGTATTTATTTATTTAAATCAGATAATTGTTATCAAGCATAGGAATATAAAACATAAAGAATAGATAAGCCCAAACAGTAGGCTCACATAAAGAAAAACAAAGATAAAATCATACATAGGAACAGAAAAAGTATGCAGGAGTTCGAGGTATGGTCACATTACAGACAGAGTGAAACGATCATGAGAGAGTAGACCATATATACTAAATCACATATGGTAAAAACAATGAAACTTGATTTGTTGTAGAAGACCTAGTGCTACTATGACATATCCATCAAACTCTCCAGCAATAAAGCATCAACCATCAACATAGGTATTACAAGCAAGTATAAAAAGAATCTTGAAAAACCCTCATATAGCGTGTCACAGCAGGCCACAAACCGCTGCCCCTGAGTAAAATAGGGCAAAACAGAGAGAAACACAGAGAAAAAGTGTTATAGGCAGTTAATTGGCATATTGTACAACCTCAGACTGAGTAATAACCTATTCAGGACCACTTGTGTGAGGGCCATACCAGGGACTGCCAACCAGGCATCCCAGATTTTGGTAAATTTAGTATGACAACCCCTATGTTGATACACAAATTTTCCTCCTAAGAGTGAAGCATTGACCGGTTGTAACCACTCTTTATTAGAGGGGTAGGTGGAGAAATTCATTTTTGCATGATAAGCTTACATGCTATAAATAATAGACAGGTACAGTAAGAGTAGTATATACCTAAGAAGTACATTGCTCCTCATCTAACCATCCCAGCACACATAACTTAGATCCAGGTTGTAAATTAACAGAAAAAGCAGCATTAATTGTGTCTAAATTTCAAAGTTCAATATCAAAAAGCTTGGGACTTTTCCAAAACATGTAGATCATCATACCTGTGTCTACTGCACATCTCACAAACATGGGAATTTATCTTTTTTGCCATCTAAAAAGTTTTTGAGGAGTATGATAGATTCTATGAATAAGGAACAATTGAGTCAATTTCTGTGTAGTAGGTAAAGATACCTGTAACACATTGTTTAGGATATCTGTCTACTCAACGTCCAAGATAGGCCCTACATTAGATTGCCAGTGTTCCCTACCTACCCTTGGCTTTATACAATGATGTTATCTGATCAAACTTTTTTTTTTCCCAAGGACTTAAAATCTTTAAGGACACGTCCTATATAGTTGTGCTATGTAAATAAGACGCTCGCAACCCAGACATCAAAGCCCTCCAATTTAAAAAGCTCTGGATAGTTCAAATTACAGATAAACATGGTGTAATTAGTAAATCCCAAATGCCCCCAGTGTTTAACAGTTTGTCAAGTAAACACAGGGTAGGTAATGAGTTCTGAGCTCTAAATCTGCGAGTTTCCTGTGACAGACCGCCTGCCACCCTGATTGGGTGAATCCATCAGAGACCTGCTTTCTCATCGCTGGGACACAAGACCAAGGTATTATAGCTGGGCATTGCACCCAAGGACTAGACAACACTAGCCTATGTGTAACTGGAACTACTTTATTGAACAGAAATACAGGCTCTTATACACTTTAGAAATAGGAGCTGTCCCCACATGAACAAAAAAAAAAAACACAAATATTACACATTGAGATAAACATCTCACACTGATTAGGTAACAAGGTAAAGTTGACACCAGATTAATCCCATCATGTAGTTATTTCCAGAAGGACCAAACAATAGTAAATGGAAGCTTACACAAACTTGCCGATTTTTGCTTTTGAATTTAGCAATTAAAGGTGTAGTGTCTATGTGCTCGGTCTAAGTTCATTGCCAATTTGTATGCAATTGCACTGCATGTCGGCAGATTGCATGCCGATTGTAAAGTAGCAGATCTTCCAGACAGAGATGTGTGTGTGTGTGTATGTGTGTGGTGGCCCAGCGGACCAGTCTGCAGACAAACTGTTGGGTGGTGGCAAGCTACAATTTGTTGTGTGTCTGGTGTGGGGGGGTGTGGACAGTGGAAGAGTGATTAACACCGGGGTTCTAGCTTGTAGGATAGCTGGAAGAAACCTAGAAGGATGTGCTAATTGCTAGACTGCTCCCCAGCCCTTAGAGTGCACCAGATTGTATATAAGATTTGCATCTGCCTGTGGATTGGAGTCTCCCTCTAGTGGTGGCCAGAGGTAGTGTGGGCTGTGAAAGTGTATCACGGACAGTCATATATGCTCAAAGTTAGTCCCCCTCATTCCCTCCAGTCACGGACCACGCCTCGGTTAGCTAGTTGCCGTGGGCAATCCGTTTTATCCATGACAGATAACGTTTTCTCAGAATCCCGTCTCACCACGTGCCCTGTCCCCTCTCAACTACTATGGACACCCTTTTCTTCTGTCCTATGCTCCCTCACTCACATCTTCAATCTCTCCCTCTCTAATGGTGCCTTTCCCTCCCCTCTAAAGCATGCACACATCACACCCATACTTAAAAAGTCTTCGTTGGACCCCACCAACCTGAACAACTTAAGACCCATCTACCTGCTCCCGTTTACCTCTAAACTCTTAGAACGCTTCGTCTACAATCGTCTGAGCTCCTACCTCACTGACAACAACCTTCTTGACCCTTTACAGTCTGGCTTTCGCTCACTACACTCCACTGAAACTGACCTACTAAAACTCACTAATGATTTACTAACTGCTGAAACCAATGGCCACTACTCCCATACTCTTACTACTTGACCTCTCTGCGGCTTTTGATACTGTTGACCATCCCCTCCTCCTCAAAAAACTCCACTCACTTTGCCTCCGAGACTCTGCTCTCTCCTGGTTCTCCTCCTACCTATCGCAGTGCTCCTTCAGCGTTACCTATAACTCTGGCTCCTCCTCTCCACTCCCTCTTTCTGTAGGGGTCCCTCAAGGTTCTGTCCTTGGACCCCTTCTCTTCTCCTTCTACACCTCCTCCCTTGGTCACTTGATAAACTCCCATGGCTTTAAGTACCATCTATATGCTAATGACACACAAATCTATATCCCTTTCTATCCCTCCTCTCGCATTACTAACCTACTAAGTGACATATTGGCATGGATGTCACTCCACTTCCTCAAGCTAAATCTTTCCAAAACAGAGCTCATACTATTCCCTCCAGCCCGTGCCCCCTCCCCTGACTTCTCCATCAAGATTAATAATACTACCTTCAGTCCCTGCCCTCATGCCAGGGTGCTAGATGTAATCCTAGACTCCCATCTGTCCTTTCACCCCAAATCCAATCACTGTCCAAATCTTGTAGACTTCACCTTCGCAACATCTCCAAGATACGCTCGTTCTTAACCTCTGAAACTACTAAGCAACTTATTCACTCCCTTGTTATCTCTCTCCTTGACTATTGTAACTCCCTCCTCATTGGCCTACCTAATCGCTGGCTGTCCCCTCTTCAGTCTATCATGAATGCTGCTGCCAGACTCATCCGCCTAACTAACCATTCCATATCTGCCATCCACTCCACTGGCTTCCCATTGCCCAACGAATACAATTCGAAACATTAACAATAACATATAAAGCCATTTATAACTCCTCCCCAAATTACATCACCAATCTTGTCTCCAAATATCACCCAAACCGTCTTCTTCACTCCTCCCATGACCTCCTGCTCTCTAGCTCCCTTGTCTCCTCCTGCCATGATCGTCTCCAGGACTTCTCCAGAGCCTCCCCCATCCTCTGGAACTCTCTAGCCCAATCTATCCGACTGTCGCCTACTCTGCCCACTTTTAGGCGATCTCTGAAAACCTATCTCTTCAGAGAAGCTTATCCCACCTTCAGCTAATAACAGAATCTTCTATTCCTCCTACCAGTCCATCCCCCCACAGTTACTACCTTTTGTACCACCAGCCCCTTCCTCTTAGATTGTAAGCTCCAAGGAGCAGGGTCCTCCTAACCCTCTTGTATTGAACTGTATCATTGCTTTATATTGTAAAGCTCTGCGCAACCTGTTGGCGCTATATAAATCCTGTATAATAATAATAATATACGTTAGAATGATAATGCTTTCAAGGAGGAGTTGCCGCCTCTCATGGAACATTTATTGTTTTAGGGTGGGATTGAAAACACAGCCTGAGTCAAAGTGCCCGGAATTACTTGCTAATTACTGTGATATGTTGTTAAGAAAAACACCTCTCAGTAAAAAGCTTACTTCTGAAGAAATTGAAGCAAAGCTGAAGGAAGTGGTATGTGTTTATTTTATGCACTTTTATATAATAGCATGATGACAACTTGCGTAGCAGTTGACAGAGCTTGTAGGTTTTGCACATCAGTCCCAGATCCCAAAAATAATTTACTATCTTGTGTCCTCATAACAAACTCAAACACATAGGAAACCCCAAGGGGACTACATGCAAGTGTGCAGTTAGTGTTTTAGTGGTATTCCTATCCAGTATCACAGCAGTGCTGTCACAAGTTCTCAATTGCCACCATCCTGTCAAATACTATTTATTTGACACTGATAGCTATTCTACAGTTTACCAGTCAGGTCTGCCAAAATGTATAAACCAACAATAATTGTAAGTGCAGGCAAGTCTTGGTGCCTTCTTGTACCTGTGTTTGTTATCAGATCAGTTAACTAGGAAGGACCCCGGATTACAGACCCAAGTAATAAAAAGGGCCTCTACTTCTCTCCAGTTTAACACGAAGTCTTCGCCATGCACTTAGCAGTGCAATGCCAGTGCCTTTTAGTGGCCACTGAAGTTTTTTGTTTTGTCTTTTTTTTGTTTTGTGTTTTTGTTTATAGTTGTAGATAGGTGGTGGTAAGAGAGTAAACTGGTCATAGACAGATCAATATCTGGCCAGTTCACCAGGATTCTTTCATTTTTTTTTTTCCAGTGCAATGTAAGTTGTGGGAAATCCAAAATTTTGAGTTGTCCGCAGAACATAATAGAAGGGAAATCTTTCAGTGAGGACAGTTGTTCAGATTTCAATGAATAAAATAGATTTCACTTTTATGTCTTGCTATGTTGAAGTGAAGGAAAATCTCCCAAGTTGGATACAAATGGTTAAAAAAAAACCTAACGGGATTTAACCATTCTTTGCTCTATCCAAAAAGAAAAAAGGTTTTGGGTTTAGATGCACTTTAATTGCAGATTTTGAGTAAAGATGAGGACCTTTATACAAGCATGGGCATAAAATGCACATTTTTTTTCCCAGGCACGCAGGGAGTATTTTATTGTAATTATATATTCTCTTGGTGTATCTTACAGATTCACCCTAAAAGCACACCAATCAACATGAAATCCATGAACATATCCCCTATAGAATTGGAGCTGAATGGGACAGATGTTAGTTTTTTACATCTGTGCGTGTTCAGTTTTGTGTCTGGCTGGCACGGGTGGACCCCTGAAAGCTCTGTGGCTAGCCGGATGTAAGCAAACTTGTGTCTGTTTACATAAGGCTACCTCTGATCCGTCACCTTTTAGGTCTGGAAAAACAGAAAAGGAGGCTTTCTTTTTTTTTTTGTGTGTTTTTTTTTTTTTTTTTTTTTTTTTTTCTTTGGACCTGGACAGACTTGTAGGTAGGTGGATGCAAACAGACTCAAAATTAAGTCTGTTTTCATTAACCTGCCCATAGAGCTGCATGGAGCTTCCAATCAGGTCTGCCTGAAAAACTGACAGGTGGACCTTGTTGGAAAGCCCGTGTGAAAGGGCCCTAAGGCTAATTTATGCCAAAGGCTCTGGTTTTTCTGCCAAAGCCTCTGTTACCCACTGTGGTTCTGGCATTTGACTGTTGAATGACAAGTGAAGTTTAGTGCAGCGAAGGGGCAGGGTTTAATCTGGACTTGAATATATTCCAAAGGGCATAGAGATCATATAAAGACAAAAGCTAGCCATACCTTTTTAGTAGATTTTTGAACAAGCGTTTATAGGAACATTTGTACAAAAATCCTCAGTACTTTCGGTGACGTGACAAATGGCGTTTGAAAGTACTTTAAAATTTGTGTGCTTTTAACATTCAGTTGTAGAATAAATCGATATTACTGAACAACAACTACATATTACATGTACATTGTTAGAAATCCTTTTTCTAGTTAGAAAAAACTTTTCCCATCCCGCTCCCTTTTTCTTGTCACCGTGATCGAAAATGAACATTGATATGAACAAAATTGAACAAATGTTTGTACAAATGCTTGCTCAAAAATCTACTAGTGTATAGTCAGCTTTAGGCAATAGATGTTGTCACCTTGTCAGGTCTACCCTTAGCTAGTCTTTCTGTTTAGATTTGCTTTTTTATTTTTTATTATGCATTTTTAGCAGTTCTCAGTACATTGGAAATATGGCTCGTCCACCTTGTTAATTGTAAGTGATGTCTGCTTCTTGTCATGTAGTTTAATTATTTTCTGTTGTTCACAGCTGCTGGTGCTTAAATATGTTCAGAACAAAGACGTGTTCATGAGATATCACAAAGCTCACCTCACCAGACGTCTCATTCTGGACATCTCCGCAGACAGTGAGATTGAAGAGAACATGGTGGAATGGCTCAGGGTAAAAAAGATGTCCTTAATAGACTGTTTCTCTCCTGTAGATTTCTGGTTTTCATAGAAATTCTGTTAGATATGCATTAAGAACTATGAACATGGCCAATAAGTTTCTATAATGTTGTGGAAACCTTTTTTGTCTTGCACAGTTAAAGCTGAATTTTGCCAGGTTTGTTTGTAAACCAACCTCATCCGATCACTGTGAATTGACATTATGGTGATCACATGATTAGGAACCACACTGATTAGTTCCTGATTGTAATTGTAGACCAGCAGCTTCCAGCGACAGTGGGGTGTCAGAAGTAAGAGCTGCACAAGTGTGGACCAGTGGCTGTCAGTGGCAGTGCGATGTTAAAACTAGAATCCTCCACATGTGTGCACTCCTACTTCTAATATGGAGCATAGATTAAGGCCTTGTTCACACTATACATGCATAAAATCTGATGGAAAACTTCCACAATTTCACTTGCAGACACGAGTTTACATCAGTTTTCATGCGCGTTTCGACCCTGCTGGCACTTTTTTTTTTTTTTGTGCAGATATGTAACATAAATTTTCTGCAAGAGCACAAAGAAAACAATTGTTCTCTATGTGCTATGTTCATACAACAATGTTGATGTCCCGCTGTTTTTTTTTCCCCAGGCAGAAAACTGTAAACTCATTGCAGATTCTTGCACATGATATTAGTGTTGTGGTGTGAACAGGACACATAGAGAATTGTTTTTTTTTGTACTCTTGTAGAACGCATGCAGAAAAAGGAGACCTAACATTCTCTCAACAGAAAGAAAGCAGATTGGGGTTCCTTGGTTTTAAACAATTATTTTTATATGTAATTTAGTTTTGTATTTAGCTTGCCATCTAAACTGTGTGTATAAAAATTGTTAACTTTGTAGATTTCACTTGGTTGCTGTGTCTCTCTCCTTTTTTTTTCACTTTCACTACCCTAATACGATTGTTTAGTACAGCCTTTCCCAACTAGGGTACCTTAAGATTTCTTCAGGGGTGCCTTGGCAAAATGTCTAAAAATTGTATACATGCCAGTGGGTGGACAGTCCTGCCTTTTAGTTAATAAATCACCTCTAATGTTGGGTGTCCTACATGTGTGAATGTTGTTGCATTATAAAAACTATTAGAATAGTTTCTCATATTTTAGAATGGGGTGCTCTTTTAAAATTATGGACAGTCTTGAGGCACCCTATTTTAAAATGGGGTGCCTCAAGACTGTCCATAATTTTAAAGGGTGCCTCGGGTATACCCATAATTTTTAAAGGGTGCCTTGACTGAAAAAAGGTTGGGAAACACTGGTTTAGTATTCTGTTCCATAGTGAAGATGTTTACTATATACTTTACCAGAGAAAATAATCCTTCCATTGCATCATGTAGAAGGGCAGGGAGAGTTTGTTAGTACTGTCACAATAATTTCAGTGAGAGGTAGATCTTAAAGTGCCCCCTAATCAGCGCTGTATTTACCATAATGGTGCTTTTGGGGCAGCACCATTCCTAAAATGTTTACAAATTGTGATATAACTATCTTATTTTATTTCCCTCCTCTGACCACTTCTGAACATCTGTTCGTAAATTGAGAAAGAAATGTAGAGGAAATGGACAGGGGGCTGTGAATGTTTTAAAACTGAGAAATTGGAAAACATGAAACCTTTCTCTTGTTTCATAATCTGCACAGATGGAAAGTAGTCCTGAATATAAATAATACATCTTCCTTCCTCCTATAGTGATACAGTCACATGATACAAAAGCTGTCATCCTTTATGTGTGCTAATGGCAGCATGATGTATCAATCCAGCCCTGCCCCTATTATATGCCCCTATATAGCCAGCATACCAAAAATGTAAATATCAGTACCCAGCCTTTTATTTTCTTATTTTAATATTTCTGTTGCTGCAATGAAAGCTTGTGCTTCCTGGTTGATGAAAATTATTACTCATTTCTTAATTAATGCCAACTTTTTTGTTAGTAATATCCACAAAATTGTTGCTTGATATTTGCTTGATAGAAAAGAACCACTACATAGCTTAATTAGGATTGATGGCACTATTTTGACATTCCTTTTGTTTGTATTTTAAAGGAAGTCGGAATGCCTGCTGACTATGTAAATAAACTGGCTCGGATGTTCCAAGACATTAAAGTATCTGAAGATTTAAATCAAGCTTTCAAAGAAATGCATAAAAATAATAAATTAGCACTTCCAGGTACGATATACAATGATATAAAGTGTATCAATCATTTAGTTCTGTGTTTGTAGTGTAACAGTCTCCACATGTTGTGAGGTAGGGCGATATGGGAGCCTCAAGGCTATAGTATCTTAGGAGTAATGTTTTAAGAACCATGCTAGTCCTGTTTGCCTCTGTGCCATTTTCCTGAAGAAGGCATAGTTGGAGGTTACATGCCACCCTAGTTTGCCACTATAAGGTTTTGTGTTCATGCCAAACACTGTGTTAGATGCATGTATCTGCTTGCAAAACATAGTGTTTCACAGGAAGAGGCTAGATTTGACCTGCTTTGCCTCCAATCCAAATGCACCCCAGTAGGAAATGCTACATCCAAAAACACAAAGCAGATCAAATGCAGCCTCTGAACTGTCATTTACACTACTCCAATTGAGTCAATGGGAATCTGTTGACCTGAGTCTGGCATGTATTTCAGGCAACATCCTTGAACAAAAGCCCTTAGTGAAACCCGCACTTCCACAAGCTGTCATATATAACATTTTTGAAGCTGAGGCTGAAAGCCTGTCAGGATAGAAATATAGGAGATTCCATTACGGACAGGCTAGGACTCCTAACCTGCATGCTTGTTCAAAGTCGCTGTCTGACCATGTAGATGAGCAAGGATGTGAATAGGCTTGTACAATGAATAGAAAGTTGGAAAAGGTAGCTCATGTATTTATGTTCAGATTTGATAGAAGATGAGGTTTATTTTTTTTTTTAATTTTTTCTTAGTTTCAATGGTCTAATCTTGTTTTGGTATGATGTTTTGTTGGCAGCTGATTCTGTGAACATTAAGATTTTAAATGCGGGTGCGTGGTCAAGGAGCTCTGAAAAGGTCTTTGTGTCTCTCCCCACTGAACTGGAAGACCTGATCCCTGAAGTGGAAGAGTTCTACAAGAAGAATCACAGTGGAAGAAAACTGCACTGGCATCATTTAATGTCTAATGGCATTGTAAGTAGTGCTTGCTTAGGAATGGCTCACAAGAGTCTGCAAATACTTATAGCTATGTTTATAGTATTCCACACAGAGACAATATACATTTCATGATAAAGACCATTGATAATAAAGGTGAACACAGGTATCACTACTCACACTTGACCTGATCAGCGTAGTGTTAAAGCTGAATTCCAGGAAAAATTGATATTGAAAAGTTAGATTGGGTCAGCTTGGTCACCTCTAATGATTGCAGTTTAACACTCGGACAGCATCGGGAGATGCTCAAATTATCAGTAGTAGTTCATCCTAAATACAGTCTGAGCTATGATCTTCTGGGAAATGCTGTAATAGCTTCCATCTCTTACAGTGACAGGAAGTGACAGTTTAGCTTTGAAAAATCAGTTTTTCCTGGAGTTCATCTTTAATGAGCATTGATGCCAGTTTTCATGGTATAGTGCTGTCAACTATATTGTGCTGTTGCGTTCACATTACACAGTGTAGTACCAATACTCGGCAGCGGTTTATAGAGTACACTGAAATGGTTATATCAGTCCTTATATCAAATGAGAGTACAATCTGTTATACTGGTCCCGCAGTTCCTTTTTTTCCCAGTCTGCATGAATACCTTCTAAAATGTGACAATATGCTGAAACAGTGTGTGTATATGTGCATGTATATATGACACATATATATTTTTTTTTTAAAATCCACCTTATATTAAAAAATAGACCCTGTGCTGCAGGTAAATGACTTATCTATCATCAGTCTGCAGCAGACAGGAGGAAGCATTTCCTCAGTCTTTTCTCCCTACATGATCAGACTGCAACAATATAATCTATTAGAAAGCTACAGGGCGAGAGGCTGCAGCAGGGGCTGATCTGTGTCGCATTTCTGAACACAGTTTAGAATTCCCTAGTCACCATGAGTGTATCATCTCTGAGTGAACATCTTAGTCAAAGAAAAACGATGCTGACCCGTGGTAATGCCTAAATAAAATGGCTCCATCCTGGAAGAGTTAAGCATAGCTGCTTCTACAGCTAAATGTATTGGGACAAAATAGTATATATTGTATGTACTGTATTGTACAATCACTGGCCTCTTTATTAGGTATACTTGTTCAATAGCTTGGTAACACAAATTGCTAATTAGCCAATCACATGGCAGCAACTCAATGCATTTAGGCATCTAGATGTGGTGAAGACGACTTGCTGAAGTTCAAATCAAGCATCAAAATGGGGAAGAAAGGGGATTTAAGTGACTTTGAACGTGGCATGGTTGTTGGTGCCAGATGGGTTGGTCTGAATATTTAAAAAAACTGCTGATCTACTGGGATTTTCACGCACAACCATCTCTAGTGTTTACAGAGAATAATGCAAAAATGAGAAAATAACCAGTGAGCAGCAGTTGTGTGGTCTTAAATGCCTCATTGATGTCATAGGTCACAGGAGAATAGGCAGACTGGTTCGAGATGAAAAGAAAGGCAACAGTAACTCAAATAACCACTCATTACAACCAAAATATGCAGAGTGCCATCTCTAAATGCACAACACGTCAAACCTTGAAGCAGATGGACTACAGCAGCAGAGGACCATACCTGGTGCCACTCCTGTCAGCTAAGAACAGGAAACGGAGGCTACAATTCACACAGACTCACCAAAATTGGACAATAGAAGATTGGAAAAACATTGCCTGGTCTGATGAGTCTCGATTTCAGCTGCGACATTCAGATGGTAGGGTCAGAATTTGGCATAAACAACATGAAAGAATAGATCTATCCTGCCTTGTATCAACGGTTCAGGCTTGTGGTGTTATGGTGTGGGGGATATTTTCTTGGCGCACTTTGGGCCTTTAGTACAAATTGAGCATAGTTTAAATGCCACAGCCTACCTGAGTATTGTTGCTCATCATGTCCATACCTTTATGACTAGAGTGTACCGATCTTCTGATGGCTGCTTCCAGCAGGATAATGCACCATGTCACAAAGCTCAAATCATCTCAAACTAGTTTTTAAACATCACAATGAGTTCACTGTACTCCAATGGCCTCCATAGTCACCAGATATCAATCCAATAGAGCATCTTTGGGATGTAATGGCATGGGAGATTCGCATCATGGATATACAGCCAACAAATCTGCAGCAACTGCATGATGCTATCATGTCAATATGGACCAAAATCTCTGAGAAATGTTTCCAACACCTTGTTGAATCTATGCCACGAAGAACTAAGGCAGTACTAAAGGCAAAAAGGGGTCCAACCCGGTACTAGCAAGGTGTACCTAATAAAGTGGCCAGTGGGTGTATATCTAGAATTATGCTTTTAAAGGGATGTGTCACCACAGACATTCTTTATACAGGAGACATACTGTACACATGCAGTTCTACTCTAGTGCTCCCAGTTGTAGTTTTTTTCCTTAATCATTTTTCACAGATGGGCAGGGTTGGACAATACTGTATACATATGTTTATTTTGTCCACATTTCAGTATGAATTTTTAAAGGCGATCTATGGAAGCTGCCATTGCTGACCTTTTAAAAACGACTACGTGACCAGTAAAGTATAGGAGCTGGCAGTCAATCAAAGCAGCTCCTGTATTTTATAAATGATTTGCTCCCTTTATCCTTTTAATCACTGTTGTTGCATTTTACAGATAACCTTTAAAAATGAAGTTGGACAGTATGACCTTGAGGTGACAACATTTCAGCTGGCTGTTTTGTTTGCTTGGAACCAGAGGCCTAAAGAGAAGATTAGTTTTGAGAATCTTAAACTAGCAACAGAATTACCAGATGCAGAGCTGAGAAGGACTCTTTGGGTATGTGTAAATGTTTTGCTTGTTGGTCACAGAGTGCGTTGTTTAGTGCCGGTAAAACACCCTTTAATCAATAAAAGGTGAAGCAGCAACTTGATCAACCCCATACTACCACTAGGGATGAGCTCAGGAGCGATCCTGTCAGGAAACTGTCACTTGTACTGGGTCAATCATAAATGGCCAGGGCATTCACCAGCCTGCAGCTGCACACACATATGGGGCGTGTATACGGGTGGCTGCAGGACATGCTTGCCTTGGCTGCTTATGGGCTTATTAGCCCAGTACAGGGACAATTTTCTGGTGGACTTGCTCAGGTGGGTTTGGACTAAGATCCAGACACACCTGAACTCATGTTCAGTTATAGACAGTATAGTTATTGTGGTGGAAGAAACATTTTTCACCCCCAGTTTTGTTCAGTGTCCTTAAGGCCTTTTTCACACAGGGCAGATTGTGTTTTGATCAGCAGGGGATCAGCTTACTGGAGCAGTTTCTGCAGAGCGGACATGGACAGAGCCCACTCTGCTGTATTGGCAGCCAGGACTAAATGGACTTCATTGTCCGTTTACACCTGACTATCCCTCCAATCTGCTCCACCTAAACAGAAGTGGACAAATCCCCTTTTTTAAAAAATTTATTGGACCTGTTTGGACTCCGCATTTCCATAGTGTTGAATGGACCTTCCAGTTAGGTCTGCCTGAAAAACTGACAGGGGACTTAGGGTTTCTTCTATTATCGCACTCTATCTCTCCTTTTTGCTGGGTTCAGGGAAGTTATAGTTTGTATATACATTTCTATACAAAGTCCTGCCATCTGATGAGATTTGATCTACCTGGTGGTATGGCCTGATCAAGTCGGTACTTTGTAAGTGCATTTATTCACATTTTATTTTATTAAAATGGTTCTAAAGGCTCAAGGCTTTTCACCTTCATGCATTCTATGCATGAAGGTAAAGACCTTCTAAGTGTAGCAGCCCCCCTAGTACTTACCTAAACCCTGTCCCAATTCAGCGATATCCATGAGAACCTAGGTTCTCCAGGACTCTCACTCCTGATTGGCTGAGGCAATGGGAGCCATTGTCACCCACTGCTGTTAATCACAGCCAGTTAGCCAATCTGGTGGGGGTGGGGCTGAACCGCGGCTCTGTGTGTGAATGGACCTGCAGAGCCGCGGTTCGAGAGTGCGCCTGCTTGGGTGACTCCATAGCAAGCCACTTGCTGTGGGGGCACCCAACAGGAGGGAGGGGCCAGGAGCGCCGGCAGGGGACTCGGGAAGAGGAAGTGCAAAACTACTGAACAGAGCAGGTAAGTATGACATGTTTTTTTTGTTTGTTTTTTTTTAAAGACTTTAGTATCACTTTAAAGGGTGTTTTACCTGCATGTGGTGGGCTCTGTTCTGCTTTATCCTTTACCCTAGTTATATTTGCCTTTTGGATATTCACAGAGCCTGTAAAGATGGGCAGATTGTCTAGGAACCAGTGAAGTGCATTAGTTTATGCTTTGGTTTCTTGCTATGTCAATCAGACAGCTTGTGTTATGTGTTCATTGAATGTATGTTAATTTCTTTTACTTAATTCAGTCTCTTGTAGCGTTCCCAAAACTGAAGAGGCAAGTTCTGTCATATGAACCACAAGTAAATTCTCCTAAAGATTTCACAGAGGGCACCTTGTTTTCAGTAAACCAAGAGTTCAGCTTGATGTAAGTGTGATAAAAAAGCTAGGCTTGCGTTAATTACTTATGTGCGTAACGCAGGGGTGCTGGCACCCAATAAAGGAGATCTGCACAGATGTACTCAATAAAAAGTGTTAATATTATACATCTAAAAATAGAAGATCTCAACACAATGAGACTAAAATGGAACTTCAGCCAAAACCCTTTTCTAGTATTTGGTAAAATGAGCAAGGGTTAGAATTCCTTTCAAGTTTCTGTTGCTGTCCACTGTGTGCCACTGGGAAGATTTCTGCTTGACTGTCAAGGAGATACAACAGAAAAGTAAGTGGAAATCTCCCCAAAGTGAGGGGAGATATGAATGTCACCTGAACTAGTGTCCCTTTTTGGAACTTTTTCCCTTTTAATCCTTTTCTCCAGTGACAACTCTAAAATCTTTTCTTCACTCCCTCACTGCTATATTCAGTTGCTGGGAAAAAAACCTTTTAGTAACTTAGCTCCAGCTAGAATTTACACAGGGCTCTGGAAATTCTCTTCTTTCCATGTGATAGTGCTGGACCAATCATAAAGCAAGTGCTGTCACATGAGAGGAAGGGTAGTCAGGTCACCTGATGCTAGTTAAGACCTTGATGTTCGTCACTGTGAGCTGCACTCACTGCCCAGGTGTTGTAGAATGCCATCTCTTATGTAAGGCTACTTTCACACTGAGGAGTTTTTTTAAGTGTTTTTTGTTAAAAAATGCACCTGATAAGCTCAAGAAAAACGCTTCCCTATGTAGGTGAATGTATATGTATGTATGTTTTTCACACTGAGGCATTACGCTTGCGGTGCGGTGTAATAACTCCCAGTTGCAGCATCTTTGGGGCATGTTTGGTGAGTTAAAAAATAACACCCCAAAGATGCCTCTTCCCATTGAAATCAATGGAAAACATCTGAAAAGCACCTCAAAAACGCCCCTGAGAAGCGTTTTTGGTGCAGTTTTTAAGTCATGTATCTTTTAAAAACGCTCAAAGTGTGGCCTATGTGTTTTTGCTGTGTTTTTTCAGCAGATCAGTGTGAAATTAGCCTGGGGCTTCTCATGGCAGCTTCCCTTTCAAATGACAAAACAAATCATGCCGTAGAAATCTAGTTGGAGATTTTATTTTACAAGCTTCTTAACTTGTGCAAATATTATTTCTACTTCTTCCCTTTAAGAAAAAATGCAAAAGTTCAGAAAAGAGGAAAGATCAATTTAATTGGACGCTTACAACTCACAACTGAGAGAATGAGGGAGGAAGAAAATGAAGGCATTGTACAGCTCCGAATACTGAGGACTCAGGTGCGTATTAGGAGATTGTCTGCATTGTATGATATATTGTTGTAGATGATCAGTTTTGTATGTTACATTATGCCTAATTACTAACTAATGTAACTACAGCACTTCATTTACTTTTCTAGCACCTAGTTTAAGGCAGGTGATTGTTTGAATCAGTATACAGTGTTCAATTTCAGCCACTAAAACAAGGAACATCTTATTTGTACAGTACAGGACAGAGGACTGTAGTTATGGATCATGCAGGCTACCTTTAGGTGATTGGACATTGGTAAAGAACTTTATTAGGGTCGCCCCTTGTGCATGCTTATAAAACCCCACTCACTTTAAGATGGACCTTTTCCCCTTGGAAGAACTTTTTGCCTTTCTAAACCATTCCTTTTTTCCTCAGCCTTTTCTATCAAGATTTGACTGCTTATTGCCCCTAGGCTGTCTAACAGTTTCTAGACTGGTAACTATCTGTGTTTACCTTTAGGACCGTACCAAGAACCCACTATAACAGGGCCACCTGTATTGTTTGCGAAATGGATCCTGTGCTAGGTGTTCACCTTGACGTGCAGTTAGTCATAGGGTCCAGGGCTATGGTCCATATCTTTGTTTCACAGGCCCTGAAGACCCCTTATGGGGTAAGCCCACTATGACAAGTGAGGGCTGGATCCTTAACAGGCTCAGCGAGATGGGCAAAGTAAACGGTCTACCTTGAACCGTTCCTGGCTTTACACGCCTCGAAGTGGCTACATAGGTGCAGGTATGGGGAGTTAATCCCTTAATTGTGTCTCTCACCATTATACTTTTGCTTTTAGCACTGTGTATATTTACAATTTCAAACGTGGTGTTTTCATCCCCTGTGTGCTTCGTCTTGGGATGGTGACGTGATTACAACACACCTTCTGACTGATGCACTGCTGCCTGCATTATCAGCTGAAAAACATGCACACCGTGTTTGATGAATTTCCTGCTGTCTTCTGCTGCAGAGGCACAGCCAAGGGACTTGGTCAGCAAATTCTAGGTGTACATAATGCAGACTGTCTGACAAAAGCAGATTTTACTGCCACTGCGGATATTGGGGACATTGTTAGGGTGTACTTAGCAGCTGTAATATCTACTCACAAGAATGAATCCCCGTTTGTTAAGTACATGCTCTCGCAGAGGACATCCTGCTTTCCGCTCCTCCATTGCCAGGTAGATCAGACTGCTGATTTTGAGGGCTTGCACCCTTAAGGACAGCGTTCATTCTTTCCTTATTAGAGCTCATTCTGCCAGATCTGTTAGGTGTTTCTTGGGCTTTCCACCCACAAGCATTTGTATTTGAGCTTTTGGACGGCTGCCACCTGGTTTTCTGTTCACAAGTTGTTCAGTAGATGTTCAGGACTCAGCTGATATGAGCTTCAGCCAAAAAGATGCTTCAAACTGTCATCTGAGCCTTTTTTTTCCTCAGTCTGTTGGTTGGGTACATCTAATGGTCTACGGCAACAGTCCTGTTACCTCTATGTTCCTTATATTGGAGTACAGAATAAAACCCTTTCTTCTGTTCCTATGGTCACTGATTGCCAAAAACCCGGAGGCTCATAGAGCTGGTGAAGTTATAGGACCGTGCACTAGAAGCAGCCCTAGCAAAGTTCTCTTTCGGTGTCCAATTAACTGAAGGTAGCCTGCATATAACTCATGGTCTGTGACTATAGCCCTGTATCCTCTACTGTACTACAGGATAATAAATTTATAGGTAAGTCAATATTTCCTTTTATTAACACCTCCTCCCCTGCATTTGTACTTGTACAATATATAAATTCTGGCTGTATAGATAAAGCAATCTGATATATAGTTTAGTGGATAATGTAAAATATGAATAATACCGAGAAATAACTTGGGAGGACCTGGAACATGCAAAAACCAAGTAAGCACAATCTAAAACCTAATGCCTATTAGCACATTATAGTTCTGAATAAACCTGCAAAGATCAGTGACAGGTTTGCTGTAAGAAAACTACCACTGTTGGCATATACAGTAACCTGGCATGTAACTCCAGCACAACTTCAGATATAAAAATCACTGTCTCTATAGAAACATATACCCCTGGTTCACATATCCGCGTTCCCTCCGGGCAGCGTTTTGCGCGGGTACGAGAGCCCATTCATTTGAATGGACTTCTGTGCCCAGGGACACGCAGGGAAGAAGTCCCTGCACTTCTTTGGAAACCGCAGACCGCACAGGAACCTTGGTTCCCAGTGCAGTTGCGATTTCCAGGGCTGGCAGCAGGCCATTAGAATTAATGGCACTCACCCGCAGGTCCGCATTCTTCTGTGTGGGTGGTGCAGCTGCACAGATTTTTAGTGCGTATCCGCAGCGGCACCACCCGCACATATGTGAACCTAGCCTTAGGGTTTCATTCATAAAGCTAGATCTAAAGCTTAGTTCTTGTGAGCTACTATGGTGTATTTTTTGGTGTGAAAAATTAATAATTCAAATATAAACACCCCTTTAAATAGCGTGCTATTAAGTTTTCAAACATAAAATATATATACTAAATAATTGAAGTGGGTCGTCTACACCATTCACATACTCATACTTGTGTGTCACTATAACCAAAAACAAATGCAAAACGTGTCGCGTTTCACTAATTCATATGAAATATGCTCAACAAACTTATTCATGAACAATATAAAATTCAAAAAACCTTCAAAAAATGTATTTTTTTTTCAAAAAATTATATATATAACATATGTGAGTCCAATTTTAGTGTGCAATCCTTCAAAAACTGCGTGCCTATTTTAAGACACAATCCATGCTTTTTTTTACGTGTCTTCCTCTAGGGAAACATAAAAAAAATCCATAAAAACTTTTTAACTTATGTGCTCCTTCACCAGTGTGCGCTCACCTGATTTATATGACCAAACCGTTACATCATGTCATAAAAAGCTTGTGTCCCTTTATTGGACTTGGAAATATATGGATTTAAGTATCCCTATCCCAGATGGATGGATGGAGTATTCCCTTTTTCCAACAGAAGGTTTTGCTGTTTCCTATGGATCTTTCCTCCTGGAGTTGGATGGATGGAGTTATCCCTCTCTCCTCTAGGGGGTCTCTTCACTCCTTTTTGGCTTGTTGCTCCATGAATATAGATGTCATGCAATCATAATAGGTTTAAATAAATACATTTTAAAGGCGATAAGGCACTATATTATATTCTTTGATTGCATGACAGTTGCATGAGAGTTTATGTGGACTTTTTTATGTTTCACTAGAGGAAGACATGTAAAATGAGCACGGATTGTGTCTTAAAATAAGCACTCAGTTTTTGAAGAACTGCACACTAAAATTGGACTCACATATGTTATATATATATATATAATTTTTTGAAAAATAATTTTTTTTGAAAAAAGTTTTTTGAATTTTATATTGTTTATGAATAAGTTTGTTGAGCATATTTCATATCAATTAGTGGAGCGCGATACGTTTTGCATTTGTTTTTCATTCATAAAGCTGCTGTATGCCTTACTGCAGCACAGCAGTGTGCTTTTACATATGTGCATTTTGCTTCAAGATGAAATGAGGCATCATTCAAAGGAATGGGAAAAAAAGTCGGGAAGAGAAGCCAGCTCATTTCACCTGTCAAAGTCACGTGATTGTCTCCTGCTCCATCCTTTTGCTCTGCACCTTTAAGCAGAATGAACTCCCTTGGAAACCATAGGCATGCATTCTACAAATGCAACGTAAATTGCAGGAGCAGTGTAAAGTTGTGCCGCAGTGTCCTGCAGAAAGCTGTATACCATCCCCATTTTAAATTGGCCCCTTACTGTATATAGATTTCCATCCCTTAAACAGACATGAGAAAGGGAAAAAAAGACCTGTCTAACCAGCATAACTATTAGGAAGAGAAGACACAATCTAACTTCTGTCTGTTAAAGGAGACCTCTATTGAGAAAATACATAGCCTGCTGTTAATGAACACCACCAGTTTGAGGGTTATGTTAAATCAAAGGCTTCAGTACTTTAAGTCACTGACTCAGAACAAGTCTGTAGATCTGGAATTCTGACTTTTCTGTGACTTTAGTAGCTGCATACTTGTTTCTGGTCATTGACCTGCAGTAGTTGCTTCTGTTTTGTTTTTTTATTTGTGTTAAAGAGAATACAGACAGCTTGTTGTTCTGGGTGTTTTGGTTATAAGGTTAGTTAATTTGCCTATTAGCAGCTTTCCTTCCCTCCATCAGAAAAACCATTACAGTTTGAGACCTAATAGCTCTGCCATTAAAAACTATTAAAAGCATGTGTTTACAGCAAAGTTTTGTCTTTATAGTCACTGATAGCTCAGGCAGAATTGCAAACCTCTATAATACTCTTTTCTCAGCAAGCCTTATGAATGCCATGGCAAATAGTGAAACAAAATGGCATAAAGATATAGGTATCCTCACAGATGAAGAATGGTCTGGATTCCATAATGAAAGGCAAGCAGTGCAGTACCTGAATTTGACCTGGTATTAGCCTCTTGCAGTCTACTGTACAGCAAGCTGCATTCAGACCTGAAGATGAAGAAGTAACCCAAAGAGCCTATTATTTATTCTACAGTTCATTTGTGCTAACAAGTAGCATGCTGACAGATGGAGAGAGCAAAGTGGCAGATGAACTTATCCCGTGTGCTGCTTCTCTTTTTACTGTCCAGTCACAGGCAGGGGGGAGACAAAAGACCTGCAATTGTTACTCATATGTAGCAGAGAAAAATCAGGTCTCCTGTCCTGCCAGACAAAGCTGTGCAATGTGGAAAGCTGTATAGATCTCAGGACTGGATGGGCAAAAATACAATCCTTTGACAGGTAAAGCAGCTCCCTTATACAGTCAGGTCCATAAATATTGGGACATCGACACAATTCTAAAATTTTTGGCTCTATACACCACCACAATGGATTTGAAATGAAACGAACAAGATGTGCTTTAACTGCAGACTGTCAGCTTTAATTTGAGGGTATTTACATCCAAATTGGGTGAACGGTGTAGGAATTACAACAGTTTGCATATGTGCCTCCCACTTGTTAAGGGACCAAAAGTAATGGGACAATTTGCTTCTCAGCTGTTCCATGGCCAGGTGTGTGTTATTCCCTCATTATCCCAATTACAATGAGCAGATAAAAGGTCCAGAGTTAATTTCAAGTGTGCTATTTGCATTTGGAATCTGTTGCTGTCAACTCTCAAGATGAGATCCAAAGAGCTGTCACTATCAATGAAACAAGCCATCATTAGGCTCAAAAAACAAAACAAACCCATCAGAGAGATAGCAAAAACATTAGGCGTGGCCAAAACAACTGTTTGGAACATTCTTAAAAAGAAGGAACGCACAGGTGAGCTCAGCAACACCAAAAGACCCGGAAGACCACGGAAAACAACTGTGGCGTATGACCGAAGAATTCTTTCCCTGGTGAAGAAAACACCCTTCACAACAGTTGGCCAGATCAAGAACACTCTCCAGGAGGTAGGTGTATGTGTGTCAAACTCAACAATCAAGAGAAGACTTCACCAGAGTGAATACAGAGGGTTCACCACAAGATGGAAACCATTGGTGAGCCTCAAAAAGAGGAAGGCCAGATTAGAGTTTGCCAAACGACATCTAAAAAAAGCCTTCACAGTTCTGGAACAACATCCTATGGACAGATGAGACCAAGATCAACTTGTACCAGAGTGATGGGAAGAGAAGAGTATGGAGAAGGAAAGGAACTGCTCATGATCCTAAGCATACCACCTCATCAGTGAAGCATGGTGGTGGTAGTGTCATGGCGTGGGCATGTATGGCTGCCAATGGAACTGGTTCTCTTGTATTTATTGATGATGTGACTGCTGACAAAAGCAGCAGGATGAATTCTGAAGTGTTTCGGGCAATATTATCTGCTCATATTCAGCCAAATGCTTCAGAACTCATTGGACGCCACTTCACAGTGCAGATGGACAATGACCCAAAGCAGACTGCAAAAGCAACCAAAGAGTTTTTTAAGGGAAAGAAGTGGAATGTTCTGCAATGGCCAAGTCAATCACCTGACCTGAATCCGATTGAGCATGCATTTCACTTGCTGAAGACAAAACTGAAGGGAAAATACCCCAAGAACAAGCAGGAACTGAAGACAGTTGCAGTAAAGGCCTGGCAGAGCATCACCAGGGATGAAACCCAGCGCCTGGTGATGTCTATGCGTTCCAGACTTCAGGCTGTAATTGACTGCAAAGGATTTGCAACCAAGTATTAAAAAGTGAAAGTTTGATTTATGATTATTATTCTGTCCCATTACTTTTGGTCCCTTAACAAGTGGAAGGCACGTATGCAAACTGTTGTAATTCCTACACCATTCACCTGATTTGGATGTAAATACCCTCAAATTAAAGCTGACAGTCTGCAGTTAAAGCATATCATATTAGTTTCATTTCAAATCCATTGTGGTGGTGTATAGAGCCAAAAATGTTAGAATTGTGTCCATGTCCCAATATTTATGGACCTGACTGTATGTGTATTGAGCTGTTTGCCTGGGCTTCAGCTTTAAAGCAAGGAAACTGTCTATAATTGTTCTCTGATATCAGCCTCTCCTTTTACTGAAACCTCTAATTCATTTTCCAGGAGGCCATTATTCAAATCATGAAGATGAGAAAGAAAATTACCAATGCTCAGCTCCAGACTGAACTAGTAGAAATTTTGAAGAACATGTTCTTGCCACAGAAAAAAATGATCAAAGAACAAATCGAATGGCTTATAGAACACAAGTACATCCGAAGAGATGAGTCCGATATCAACACTTTCATCTACATGGCATAGTCTAGAGACCCACCTGATCGGTACGGATAAGACGAGCGCTCCGAGCAGGTCACCAGAAATATTTATGCGAAAAAGCGAACTCACTCCAGACTTGTTTTGCTGCATAAATATTACAGTTCCCTGCCTTATCTTATGAAAGGACAGAAATCTGTTGCCAATGTCATTCTGCCAGCATGACAGCATCTCGTCCACTTTGCTTTTACCAGCATGCTGTTTTAATGGAAATCGTTTTGGAAGAACTTGTGAGCTTGTAAAGTAGAATTGTCCAAACCAGAGATTCTCATTTTTTTCTCTTTTTTTTTTTTTTTTTTTTTTTTTTTTTTTTCTTATTTGGTAAAGTAACTACTTTTGCCCCAGGGGAGGGGATTGTCACAGTTTCATGCACTGATGAATCGCTGTTACTGTTAGACTTTAAGTGGAAAAAAAAAAAAAAAAGAAAATCAAACTACAAAAAGAAAATACTACCACAGAAATAGCACTTTCACATTTAAGTATTGCATTAATTTAACATATGCTATCGTCCCTTCCTGCACAATTTTTGTGAATCTTTTATGCATATCATAATTTGAAGAGGTTTGTATTAATTTGTGGACATGTTGACTCATAAACAATGCTTTTGATATATTGCTTTTAAATGTGTGATCAATGTAAGGAAGCCTTGGTAGGATACAGTAAAATATTGTAAACATTTAAAGGCTATTAACAACAAGTGCTTAGAAAGTGGGCCTGTCATTAAACCCCATATCTCCTGGTTATATATATATATATATATATATATATATATATATATATATATATATATTATGCACTGTTGCAGAAGGCACAAAATATATTACGTGGCTAAAGAAAACTTCTATGGAATCCCAGTGGGCAGTCATGCAATGGAATGCCTTTACAGTTGGCCATGTGATCACTGCTGAAAGGGAAGATCTACTAATCTAAATTTTGATATGTCTGCTGTGCAGAGATTACAAGGGTGATAAAGGGTAAGTATTTCATCCTTCTGCTATTTCATATGAGTGTAAAGTGGAAGACCACTTTTGTGAAGAATTTAACTCTGTAAGACAGTGAAAATAATAAGTTTTGTAAATAGTATCCATTTGTTTCAAGTTTATATGAGCTTTTGAAGTATTCATTGTGCCCTACTGGAAATGCTCAATTTTTGCTTCATATGGAGCAGCTATCAACAGTAAACTGTTGAATGGTCACATAAATGCAAAATTGCATTATCCCTACACTTCCCACATGGCTGCGAGACAAATGTCAACATTCCCATTTGGGCATTGTGGAAACCTGAAGATTCAGTGAAAGCTTAACTAGACAAAATGAATACTTTTTACAGTATTGATAAATGAGCCAAAAATAATTATATAAATGACCCTGTAAGGCAGAGGGTTGGCAGGGGAGAAGACAATGCGGTTTTAAGGATAGGTCCATTTTTAAGTCTGCTTTGGATGGAACTTGGTGTGTTGGTTAATGTGCCATGCTAGTAATTTTTCCTGAACCTGTTAAGGTCTGATTGTTGAGCAGTTCTCTCTCACTTTTATTATTGTGGAATTTTGGTTTAGTCAGAGAGCAGTTAGATGTTTTCAGGCTTTAAATGTAAGATCACTTTTTCAACCCAAAATATGAAAAAAAAACAAAAGATGTACTGAGTGTGCTGATAATATACACTTTTACCTGTGTCTGTGGGTGACATGGCATTGATGCTGCTTATTTTTTTTTTTTCTTTATTTAGGAAGATGGGTTTAATGTATAAACAGTTGAGATCTGTGTGACCTGCACTGTGGCACCTAACTGGGCCAGTTCACTAAGCTGTATGTGATATATTAACTGCATTGGACTACCTTATGGTGATTTTCTCTTTAGAAAATTCATTACATGTACATAAAGGTGTAGACTTTCCACAAAGTAGATATTTAGCCAAGAACAACTTCTATTTTACGCAAGTCTGCATTTTTGTTCCACCTTGAATCACTTTGGTTTCTGTTAATAGGCAACATACAGAATATTACAATTATCAACAGGACAAGCTAGCAGTGTAAACAAAAACTTAAAAAGATTTAGTCAGTCTTTAAAACCCACTCCGGGCCACTTATACCTTCCCAGCACTCCCCTGCCATTATGTTGCTTTGCAATCCCAATACTTTGTGAAGTCTATGTTGGATGTTTTCAGATTACAGTATTGATGGTGTTTAGGACTGAGCACTACATGATGGGAGGAGGTCCCATGCTCTCCTATACCCATAAGCACCAGGCATTATTACAGCATTTTCAATGGGACAGTTGATTGTTGAGGTGGTAGGGTTTAAAGAGACTGTCACTTTGCCCTAAATTGTGATAGCAAAAAACAGCAAAGCAGTAGTTAAACTTACAACATCCATAATGCTTTAGTGAATTGACCTTTTTTGTGTGTAGTTCAGGTAACTGATCCTAAGGTCACCATACAGCATAAGGCTCAAAAAGATTAAAATCCAGAGATACCCAGGCAGCTAACATTTTAATAAACAATTTCAGCAATTGCAGCCTAAATATTTATTTTAGTACAGGCTTCTGGTCAAACAGAAAACATGAAAAAACACAGCGTGTCTCTCAGTAATCTGGAACATCTCTTAATTTAACGGGTACCCCAGTGATATATTAAGAGACACAAATGAATGTAATCACATATCCATTAAAGAATCATTAAATGTGCAGTATTTTTAAAAGTAACTGACTTGGGTAATTGAATTTGTCCTGTAATTAGCATCCTGTAATTCCTTGTACAGCAGTATTTATACTGGGAGGGGGAGGGAGAGCACGAAGAGCAAGCAGGTGCAGAGTGAAGACCGCTTCAAGGTGTTTTTGTTGAGGGTGTGCTGACACTTCAGCATAGGTCAAGGACAAGGCTGTGTGGACCTATGACAATGTATATACAGTTGTGTTCAAAATAATAGCAGTGTGTTGAAAAAAAGTGAATAAAGCTCAAAATCCTTCTAATAGCTTTTATTTCCATACACACAAATGCATTGGGAACACTACACATTATATTCCAAATCAACATGAAGAAAAATATATCAAATTTGTGTTGTTCCTCTAAAAAAATTGAAGAAAAGTGAATATTAGACTGTTCAAAAAAAATAGCAGTGTTTGTATTCTTCTTTACAAACTCAAACATTCACTATATAAACTGAAAAAGTTTGAAGATTTTGCTTTCCTTTGAATCACTTAATGAATATTTTGTTGTATAAGCACTGTTTCTGAGAACTGCTGTACATCTGTGTTGCATGGAGTCAACCAACTTCTGGCACCTGTGAACAGGTATTCCAGCCCAGGATGATTGGACTACATTCCAAAGTTCTTCTCTATTTCTTGGTTTCGCCTCAGAAACTGCATTTTTGATGTCACCCCACAAGTTTTCTATTGGATTAAGATCCGGGGATTGGGCTGGCCACTCCATAACGTCAATCTTGTTGGTCTGGAACCAAGATGTTGCACGTTTACTGGTGTGTTTGGGGTCATTGTCTTGTTGGAACACCCATTTCAAGGGAATTTCCTCTTCAGCATAAGGCAGCATGACCTCTTCAAGTATTCTGATGTATTCAAACTGATCCTCCCTGGTATGCGATAAATAGGCCCAACACCGTAGTATGAGAAACATCCCCAAATCATGATGTTTGCGCAACCATGCTTCACTGTCTTCACAGTGTACTGTGGCTTGAATTCAGTGTTTGGGGGTCGTCTGACAAACTGTCTCCGGCCACTAGACCCAAAAAGAACAATCTTACTTTCATCAGTCCACAAAATGTTGCACCATTTCTCTTTAGGCCAGTCAATGTGCTCTTTGGCAAATTGTAACCTCTTCAGCACGTCTTTTTTTCAACAGTGGGACTTTGCGGGGGCTTCTTGCAGATAGGTTGGCTTCATATGGCGTCTTCTAATTGTAACAGTACTCACAGGTAACTTTAGACCTTCTTTGATCTTCCTGGAGCTGATTGTTGGCTGAGTCCTTGCCATTTTGACTATTATTCTATCCATTCGAATGGCAGTTTTTCGCTTTCTTCCACGTCTTTCAGGTTTTGGTTGCCATTTTAAAGCATTTGCGATCATTTTAGCTGAGCAGCCTATCATTTTCTGCACTTCTTTATATGTTTTCCCCTCTCCAATCAACTTTTTAATCAAGGTACGCTGTTCTTCTGAACAATGTCTGGAACGACCCATTTTCCTCAGAATTTCAGAGAGAAATGCACTGTAACCATCATGTACAACATTTGCTGCCTTCCTTCCTTAAATAAGGGCAATAATTGCCACCTGTTTTTCAAAGAATGAATGACCTCACTAAATAGAACTCCACACTGCTATTATTTTCAACATGCCCCTTTCAATTAGTGATTCAATTACACAGAATCAGCAGCATGCATGTCATGATTATTGGGTCTGTTGGATCTCTATTACTCTACTACACCTGCTAGTAAATTATTTGCCATGTAGAAATATCATTTCTACCAAAAACAGTGATTGATCAGGTTAGTGATGTCTGACTGCTATTATTTTGAACACAACTGTATAAATGTACAGTATATGTTTCTGTCTCCTTGTGGACAGCTTTAACATTGAATTTTAAAAGCTATCTAGTATAAACAAAAAAATGGAAACTCTACATGATTTGCAGGGGTGAGAGTGACGATATGTTTTTCGTTGAAAGCGGAAGTGATGAAACATTTTTTTTTGCTTTCGCTATGTAATAAGACACCTAGCTAACAGTTTAGAAACCTCACTTTCATCATTCATTGCATGCGCTGCTAGTAAAACTGAGTCGTGTCAGAGCTTACTGTGCTTCAAAGAGGGCAAAAATATTGGTGCCACTTCGCCTCTGCGAATGAAGTTGCAGATTTATTTGCTCTGTCACGAGGTACAGTATCAAAGGTTATGACAGCATATCATATACAGTTTCCGGGGAAAACGCCATCTGATGAGCATAAGCACAGTCGACATGGTTAACTAACCGAAAGAGATAAAAG